CGCTGCATTTTGAAATCCTGTGACTCTCAGCAGCTCGAGGATGAGAGGGGACACGATCTGTTATCTCATCCTCAGATTTCAGGTCTGCAGTGATGCTGACTGCTTCTCCACAGCTGCTCTCATAAAGGTACTTTCTACCCATTACCACTTTCCTCAGGTCACCTGTCTGGACACCGTGGTCTCGCTGACCTTTGACCTCCAATTCCTGAATGCTGACAGAGGTTAAGTAACACTCGCCCCCTGTGGCGATGGTTTTAACCCCCGAGGAATCCTCAGTCGGGGTCAAACTGGATTTAGTGGGAGAAATGAGCTCAGTGGACTTTTACAGACGGGCAATAACATGAAGACGAACTCCACCTCTGCTCTCCACCTCTCTGAGTGGATGAGTTGAAGAGCTGTCAGGGAGGTGTTGAGTTTGAGTGAAAGACTCTCACGAGTGACGAGGAGCTGCCGGAGCAGTCAGCTGTTAAATAATCTCGGCGTGTTTCAGCCCGTCCACAGGTTTTATGTAACACACTATTGGCTTTTGGAGGTTCACTGGGTTCTTGTTTCTGTTTCTCAGATCCCAGAAACCCACTAAACAAGCAAACGATGTTAGACTTGATGTTGCAACACTGATGATGGATGGATGTACTCTGACAGACAGTCGTCGAATTGTGAAAAAAAATCAGGGGGATGGTGGATTTTATTGTTTGGGACAGATATTTTGTTCTGATGACGGTGCACATGGTGGGGAACCAACTGTGGAGCCATTTTATTGTTACTAAAGCGCAAAAATAATCATTACGTCACATAATCCCTCGGATTGAGCTGTCCAAGTCGCTTGGCCATGATACTGAAATCGCAACAGCATCACTGCTCACTGATGTCATTTTTAAAAAAAAAGGGGAAAAGAGTGTCATTTTCACACGTGCCGCCTCACCCAGAGTATTCTACTAAATGTGCGCAAAGTCCCCTTTCGCAGGGTTCTATCTCAAACAATCACAATAGTGGAAAAACACAGGTGTAGTGGAAAACACAGTGACTGGTGAAAGGATTTATTTACAGCCGGCCTTCCAAGGTGCAATGCAAAAATATTTACAAAAGAGCAAAAAAAAAACCAAACAAACAAAAAAAAAAAAACGGTAAATTACTGTTTACTAGTGATGTGTCCTTTAGTGCTGAGGCATCGGAGCGTGTGTCGAGTGATGGAAGGGGATGTATCAAGGCTTACCTCATGTAGGGGGGGGAGCCAAAAATGATGAGGTCTGAAGCCTTGGGCTTGTTAAAAGTTTTAATTCAAATTAAAAGTAAATGAAATGTTTATGTTTTATATGTTGTCCCCGTAACAAAAGTATGAACAACAAACTGATTTCTCTTTGTAAATAAGATAAAAAAAAAGACTTATTTCCTTAATACAAGAGTGTTTTCCTTTCTTGAAATTCCTTTTTACAGTGCAGTCTCAAAAAAGAAAGGCCCAGGAAGCCATGATTTAAGCCCCCCTAGCTCCTCCCAGTGGGCGTTATCAATTACATAAGTTCGGAAAAAAAAACATATTTTTTGATACTTAAACTATTTTTTATCATTTTTACCTTCAGACCTTTTTCTGTAAGTTCTTGCCATTTTTACTAAGTTTAAACACAAATCAATGGAGCATTAATTTTTCAGGATTCATGCCAAGCAACAAGAGAATTGTTTTTTCTCGCATCATGTGACCACTTTGGGCCTCCATACCCACCTATTTTACACCCGGAAATCACGCACTCTGTTTACTCATTTGGAAACATGATCCGGCATGATGGCGTGAATGGACGCCCGGTAAGTAAGTGAAGGGATGAATATCGACGTGAATGTATGTTTAAGTTAACAGATAAAGCTACAAGTGTGCAACCTTGGTTACCCTATCCATTAGAGAAGGGAGAAGGTAAAGTCGCGCTGTTTGGTGCGGTATGAGCGACGCTCGCGGGGAGGGAAATGTTTGGCGTGTGTGTGTGTGTGTGTGTGTCAGTGCGTGAGTGTGGCGCCATGCGTTGCCCTGAACGTTAAAGTTGCGGTAATGTTTCTAATAGTAGTAATATTTCCACATTCATTGACATAAATCGCTCAAGGGATGGAAAGTTGGGATGACCGTTTTATAAGGAGGATGAGTTTACCATCCTCATCATCCCCCCTCCACTCGAGTACTGCTGATAGATCACAACATTTAAGCACATAGAGTCTGGTATTATACTGGTTTTAAACATACTTAAAGCTCCTGTGAGTTTTTAAATTGCTTCCAACCAAGAGGTATGTTTTGTCTACAGGGGGCGCCAAAATCAACACAGGCAGAAAGGTCCTCACAGGAGTTCATTGGCAAAGTTTCAAATTTATCAAACCACAGAGTTCAGACTTCATGATCAAAGTCCAGTCCGACAGATGTCCGATTTTAGGACCTGTCAGCTCAGAAATTTTTGTAATTTTATCCCATTTCAGGTGTCCTAGTGAACAACAAACCAGAGTGCATGATGTATGCCTCAAAACCTCCTAAGTCTGGCGTGCTTTGTTCGTCTTAGTTTCCTTTCAGCCTCTTTCACATCAGAGTTATTGACCAATTGAAGCTCAGAGTAAAAAAAACAACATGGCAGATTGGATACGAATGGTGAAGTCAGAGCTGCGTAGTAGAACTATGAGACAATGAGAGATCCCGTTGTTACGGCAACACGAACATCAAGGGGATTCCAAACGTTTATGATGTCATTAAATCTACATTCCGGAATGTTGATTTAAATATCAACTGTAAAAACAGAGCAGAGCAGCGTCAACACCAAAATCCATTCACTTCGTTAGACTGGCAGCTTTTGGGAGATGAACTTGATGTGTTTCTGCGATATCAGGACCTTTTCTGTCTCACAGTGATGATCTAAATATTTTCAGATGTTTTGGATCTAATCTCTAAAAATACAGGAAATCTATGACGATTTATGTTTAGAGTTTAGTGAAGTAATGGGATTTTTCTTGTTAGCTGACTGCACTACTTAGAGGCTGTGTCAGCGATCAGCCCATGTCGAGGTATCAATCATAAAAGTAGATTTCATGTTTTTATTCAGTCAAATTGATGCAACTCACCATTTCTTGAGAGAATATTTGTTTCCACTTGGCATGAAATTGTTCTAACCTGCATTTATGGACTGTGTTAACGAATGATGGTTTTTGTTCCATGATTTCCACTATGAATTAAAAGTGATGGAGGAGTTGGTTTCTTTGTGCAGCAACTGAGCATTGAAATATAAATTGTGAAAAATAGATTGTGAAAAATAGTGTGCAAAAGCGGAATAAACAGAAATGTTTGGTTCAAACTCTGGGGTAACAGAAATAGTGTAGTTGGATATGTTATCTTTGTGTTGCGCTGTTGATTTTCATTGGTTCAAACCTCCTCTCCAGAGAGTGTTTGTGTTTATGTTGCATAAAGCATGCGCCGGTCATGAAACTATTACATAATTATAGAGCCTCTGAGGAAAATTAAGGGAAATAGCAAAACATCCATAAACCAAACTCAAATATTTTGACCTTCTGCTCTTTCCAAAATTAGTTTCTTGCCAAACCAATGTCTCTCCTTTGGGTTGTGTTTGTTTTCTTCAATTTGTGCGAGGTGACCCTGTTAGATAAACACATTAGAGGCCTGCTTAGCCCTGTTGTTGGTCTCTGTGCTGTCAGGTTTAGCTCTGGATGTTAGGAAACAGAGCCGCTCAGCTGCCGGAGCTGGAGGGTCACTTTTAGTTCATAAGCACTCCTCCGCTTATGGGATCGACTCAGAGCGTGTAGGATTTATCAGCAGCTCTGAGCGAGGGTCAGGTATACAGCCAGGTCACTCAGGTCACAGTGTCTTCCAGAACAAACTGACCTTGCCATAATCCCCCCTCCATACTTCCTGCTGCAGAGAGAGAGAGGAGAAAGAGAGGGGAGGGGGCTGCAGAAAGCTGTTCTTACTGTGGGAATCCCTCCAGAGCTGCTGAGATGTTGATAACAAACTGCTAAATCTCAGTCTTGCTGTTTCCTAAATGGCCCCAGAAGGCCCAGTGGAAGCTAATTTTTGTCTCTTGTGCACAAATGATTAACTTTCGCAAATCTAGCTAGCATAGTCATTAGGTTATTTTCACTAGTCATCAAATGCCACGATTTACCGATGATTTCCTCCGTTGAAAGTGTGAGCACTGATTAGAATTCATTTTCATGAGCACTAAAGCTTTTAGCGACATCTAGTGGTTAAGTTCCAGAGCGAAACACCCGCTTGACGATCCGTCATGTTACTGAGGCAACAGCGGTCCTTTTTTGGGGGGTGGTCCGGGCTTGTCAGGGGAAGTTGATAAAATCCTTCAAATGTCTGCGGTTTTGTACAAGAGTTTCGATTTTGTGTCACATGGACGCACTGAGTTAGAAGCGTATAAAAGACACTCGATCCGACCTGAAAAACTCTCAAAATTAAATTTGTGCGACTCCACGACTCCACGACTCCACGACTGTTTGACTCCGTCCCCTCGTAGTCATGTCCTCTTTTTGGGAAGTCAGAATATGGTCATCCTACCTCAAGGACCATAAGGAACTGACGTGATGAAGATTGCGTCATCCAGGTATACATTTAATCTATTTCAAGGGATGAGGTGGTGATGTTTTTGGTTGATTTATCTAAATAACTAACGATTGTAGCTCAGCTCTGAGATATCAGTGATGAGTTTTTTTTATTGTTTTAGTAACACAAGCTGACATTTACAAAGTTATGCTGAACAAAACCAACTTTGATAACATACAATGGAGTATTAAGGGCTGTAATATCAGGACTCTGAAATGACTGAGCAGAAAGCTTATGGCTAATCGTTGACCAGTTCTGTGTATTGGAGTTAATTAAGGTAAATAAACCGTGTTACTGTCAGAGAGAAGAAATTAAACATGAGTTGTTGGCGTGAAGTCTTTGTATTATTGATTCTGATCAGTCTGATGAAACATGCAGAGTCCCGGGTGGACCCCAGATTTCACTGTGACCAGCCATGTTTGACGAACTGTTTCATCCATCAAACCTCAAAACTGGAGGAGGAGACTCAACTGAAAAAAGCTGGAGGTACAAACTGTGCAAAAACATGCACAACAAAACATCACGCCACAAACACAAAGACACCGTCAATGTCCACAACAACTCGCAACAGCCTACAAGACAAAAACAAAACAACAAAACTAGAACAATACAAAAAACACACACATATGAGTGGACCTTATTCATTTTCATGGTGTAGTTACAGTTCTGAAGTAATCAGATATTCAAATATTAACATACATTTGACATAATTGAATTAATTTACAGAAACAAAACCCAATACTTAAGCCGACTTCAGATATTTCAAGTAAGTCAGACAAACACTGATTGATTCTACAAAGTAGTTTCATCTAAATAAGGAGCTGTTTGATAAATGTTCTTTGACTGGCCATGCAGATTCATCAAAGGGTTCAAATGAGAGGGGTAAAATACTTGTAAATACTGCCATCTAGTGTTCATATGGTAGGTACTGCAAACAGTTTGAAAACATACAAAGTGCGGTAAAGGAACTCTTATATTACTCTGATAATACAAACATTAAATACTGATTTCAGATGTAGATCAGAAGCTTCTGGAGTTGTACAAAGGCACATGTGGATTTATCCTCACACATATTGAATAATATCATTTTTTAAATTTTCAATACGTTGAAGTTTGATTCTGGTCGGTCGAAATCTTATTACAACAGCGGTTAACTTATAGAAGCTTATGAAACCATCTGATTACAACTGTCATATCAAATCAATCTGCAGAAATGAGATCTGGTACATTTTTAGGAAGCTTTTTACCCAAATTTAACTTTTTGGACAAAAAGGGGAAACACTTTACAATAACCATAACTTACAAATGATAAATTAGACCATTTATAAATGGTAAACAGATAGTTTATTAATGTTTAATAATCATTAATTAACAGCATACAGACCATTAATAAAAAACCTAACCCTAACTTTACAATAACCATATAAGTAATGTTTATAGGTGGTTTAAAAACCAAATATTAATCATTTACTGACACATTGTTTAATCTAGATGTTTTACAACCAATATTTAAACCCTATATAAACCTTTAATAAATAGTCCATTAATAATTAATGAAAATTATCAAACAAAGTAAAGTAACGATTAACTTATATTAATAAACTTTCTATTTACCATTTATAATTGGTCTATATGCTGTTTTTAAATGATGATTTAACATGAATAAACTTTCTATTTACCATTTATAAGTAATGGTAATTGTAAAGTGTACTATAGCCTAAATAAAGGAACAGTAATTAAACGAATACAGATATTTTAATTATACAGTAAGTGATGGATTCACCACACTGTGTTTCAACAAGTGCATCCATATCTTCTCAGTTGTAGAGGGCCAGCTGCGACCAACAGGGGGCGCATTGAGACAAGGGGAAACAGGGGGAGATTGGAGGAGTAATACTCATAATATAAGCGCAGGAAAATTTACAGTGAGCAGTACAATTATTAGACGAATAATACAGCCTACTTCACACACAAATAAACTGAAAATACGCTACAGATGGTAAAAAGAGAGAAAAATGGACAAATTGAGTAATTCTTTTAAAGCAGATTTATTTTTACAAATTAAAAAATATATGATTAAAATAAAGCAGGGGCGTCATAATGATTGAAATAGCGATTAAAAGTCCCTTTTAATATCCCAGTATGTCAGAAAGAATGAGCTAAAATGACTGTTTTGTTTTATGTCTTTTTCAACGCAAAGTCTCTTGTTCGGTTTTCTTTAAGACGACAAAAACAGTAAAAAACACATCTCTGTTCTCAGGAGGAGAAACTCAGATCGTGCATCCTGCTCCGTGTGCTTGCTGTGTGCATGCACAATCCACACGCGTGCACGTACGTACGGATGCGTGTACGCGCAGGCGGAGGATCGCCGAGCCGAGCCGTACCGTGCAGCAGGCACAAGCCGCCGGGCGCGCAGGAGAAGCCGCAAAAAATTACAGCAGCCGCTACTTGAACCTGCGAGGAGCGCAGAGGGAGCGTGAGAACTTCAGTGTGCACGGTAAGAGCCGAGCCCGCACCTTTTCCTCATCTTTTCCTCCCCTAAAAGAAACGCTTTGGAGGCTTTTTTGAGAGTTGAATTTCAATTTTTTTTCCATCCTTTTGTCTTTTTCCATCTCTCCATTTTGGGGAGCCGGGGCGCACGCTGCCCGACGAGGAGTCTGAGACAAAAGATCAGATAGATTTGAGGGGAACAAAAGAAAATAGAGCAAAAACTATTTAAAAAAGGAGAATTTAGAAATTAGAGGGATAAAATTCTTCTTTGCTGCCTTTTCCAAGCGAAAAATTGTGCACGAGCTTAGGAAAGGGGTGTGTACAGTCTGGAGGAACACGCGCTTCAGCCTCGGACGCATTTTTCCCCTTTTAATATTTCCTTATTCATATTTTTACACTTTTATTCAGGGGAAAAAAACGAGATGGAGCGTCTCCTCACGCGCTCCACGCATTCTTTATTATTTATTGATTAGCCTGGAAATGTTTATGATTATATAATTCCTGCAGGTTGCTAGGCAACGCGGTTGGAACGGTTTTTTCCCCCCTTCCGCTCATATTTTTACATCCAGTAAACATTTGAACATGCAAAAAAAAAAAAAAAATAAGACGAGCTATCTGCTGCTCGCCCCACCTCTTTGTCTGTGTGGAGGTGTGACACCGTTTGTCTGCATGCAAACACAACACACACACGCACACACGCGCACACACTGTCACATAAACTCGGCGTCTCTAACCAGATTATGTCATGATTCAGATGAATTATTGATCTCATATTTCCGTTTTATTGCACTGAGAAGGAGGATGGAGGAGGAGGTGGTGGTGGGGGGGAGGATGAGGGGATGATGGAGAATTTAGGGGGTGTAGCTACCTTAAATCCCCCCTAACACCCCCTCCTCGTCCTCACATATTAAGTTCACGCTCTCACTCCTGCTGCTGCGTCGATGTTGGATGTTATTTGCGCACCGAGTCAAACTTTATTAGCCATCCTCCGCCGTTTAATTGCCTGGTCCTTTGTTTGCCGCGGCACGCATGCGCAGTGGGAGTAGGGTGTGGATGGGAGAGATGCCACCTTGCCTATCAATAGGATGGAGAGCAGGAGGAGGATGGTGGTGGTCGCGATTTGATTCCTGCTCTGTTTAGTGGAAGTGTTGTAGAAATAGAGATCATGTCTTTGGTTGTGGTGGATTTGTACGTGTTGAAGTGTATATTTTATACATGTGTGTTTGTGTGTGTGTGTGTGTGTTAGCCGATGCCTGTGTGTGAATGGAGACAGTGAGACAGATCCTGAATCAGAATGAGACTGTGTTCACTGCCTGATTTCCCTACAGTATCATCTATTTAACTTGGAGTACTTGTAGAAAATGAGGATGTGCTGTTTTATTTCATGAATATTGTGGTTTTCGATGTCGATTTCTTGTCATTTTCTATCATTTCATGGACAAAAAAACAAACTCAGATCGAGATATTTCAACTACAAAAAGATAAAGATGAATATATTCGATACATTTGCATTAATGACAGACATAACTCAACCGTTTGTACCAATAAAGAGAATATATGGCGCTCTAACCAGCCTGGATTGATGCTATATGTTCATTACCATATTATAGCTATAATATTCAAATTGGGAGACATTGCAAACCAGCTGGGTTTCACCTCCATATCACCATGATATTCATGTTATATTTATGTAACACTCCTCAAGGGACATGAATTATTTCTATGATGGTCTTCCATGAGTTTAAACATGTACAACGATCTGTTGTGATGAAAAGTACCCACACAAGTACTTTACTTCATGGTATTACAATTTAAACTTTATTCTTAAGGTGTAAAGTGTTTATTATCATATAGGATGAACAGGTGGCTTGATAATCATTCTAGATTATCATGATATAAAGATTGTGGGGAGCCGTAATCTTAACAGAATTTAGATTAATACGTGCCTTGTAATGTACTTTTAACACTGCAGAGACTCAAGTCTTAAGAAGTATTGATCAGTCATCAAGTCTCGTTAACTATGGCTGCTGGTCAACAGAGGGCGCCAAAGTGCAGCCTTGCAATTTTGGAGGATTGCTGCAGTCATGTTGCTTGCGACTGATGCACCAAAACAAGAGGCAACCTTCAGTCTTGAGAAATGGAGCCAATGTGGGAATGCTAAAAACTGCAGTTCAATGAGTGTCCACTAGAGGCTGGCTGCAAAAGCACTGGGAACCGCATACACACCAATACAAAAAAAGCCATTTTTAGAGCAGCATTAAAACAGTTATAAAAAGGCTGTGGTGTGAACTGTTGACTCCCACGTCAGATGACCATAGATTTCCATTTTGGCGGCATCTTGCCCATTTGTCAAAGATAGAAACATACGCCTTTTTAAGGAGACAGGAGTCAAGATAACAAATCTTAAACATGATGATTTCTGGTTTTAAAATTCTGGACAATCTGGGGCAACAATCGGATACAAATCAGTGTCAGCTTTACATCTGATATAATTCATTGGTACTTGTTGAATTGATGTGTATCCGCAGTAATAGTCTCCCTCTGAGCCTCGATGTAAGATCACCATGGTAACGGGCGGGCTGTAGTAATGCGTCCTGAATGTCTGGCTGCTGATTGGTTCTCATAAATCCAACCTCGAGTCCACTCATTCATCTTGCAGGACAGAGAGACAAACAGAAACCTGATGAGATGTTATGCCGGTGACTCATCCATTACCGCTGCTGTCAGATACTCGCTGTAGGTGTGTGTGTGTGCGAGAGAGAGAGCGGGAGAGATAGAGAGCGAGAGAGTACAGACACATCACTGACATCTTCCTCTCTCCTTTTATTGTCTGACACCTACACTTTCTCATCTTTTCTCTCTGATATGGGGCATCTATGCTATATTGCCAAAAGTATATGGACAGTATATAATGATGGTCGTCCTAGAACTGTCCATATACTTATGTCACACTGACATAGATAGACTGCATGAAAGCACTCTCTGTCGAGGTTTCATTGAGTCATATGAACAACAAGATCACTTTTCATACAAACTCTTAAGTAAACCATCAACCTGCATGTGGTGCAGACTGAAGCTCATTAACCAACCATGCATGACAATGGAGGGGCCGCACCTGCTTCACATGCAACCCCATTCATGAGCCTGATGTGTGTGTATAGGTAGGTGAGCAATGGGTGCAGGTGTGGGCTGAGTCACCATTTCTGCTCTTACCGTCAATAGAGCTGAAAAAGATTTCCATCTAAAGTAAAGGCATGAAAAATCCACATTAGCCATCTAAGTAGTGATTTAGGGTCAAATGTGTACAATACGAAGGTCCAAAAGCTTGTTAGACTACTCTGTAGAGTACTTGAATTTGACTCGTCGTTACAACAACAACAGCACATAGCAGAAGTCAGTTATTTCTTGATAGCAGACTGTTAGTAGGGATGTGGCTTTAATCTTAGATTCCGGAATACTATCTTTGGGCTATAGAATGTGGCTTTTATTTAAGATTCCAGAATACTATCTTTGGACTATAGAATGTGGCTTTTATTTAAGATTCCAGAATACTATCTTTGGACTATAGAATGTGGCTTTAATCTTAGATTCCGGAATACTATCTTTGGAGTTTGGAATGTGGCTTTGATCTTAGACTCTGGAATACTAACTTTAATGTAGTACAGTGCAGAAAGTACTGCGGCTTACCTGTTGTTAGTTTGTTTATGGTACAAACACCAAAAAGAGATGAAAACAGAAAAGAAAAGGCAAGAGAGGTAAACGACTCAAAACTACAGTCTTTGACAGAGAAATCAACAAAATCCAAGATGGTAAGATCGATGAGTAATCACAGCTAAATGAGCTTATTTGAGGAAATGCTGAGCTTGGGCCACTGCTAATTAAGTTGAAATCCAAGAAACTCCTCCCCTCAGTAATATTTAGGTCCTTAAAGGGATATTCCGGCGTAAAATGAAGTTAGGGTCAAACACACCATAACACCGAGTTAGCCACCCGTCAAGAGATGAATGTTGCCGACTGCTTGCTTCTCTAGTTATTCCAACTTTTGTAATGACTGCAGGATAGCAATACACAGCGGTCTGAGGAGCCATAAACAAACTTTAACCAAAACGCCACTCTATAGCCACAAATAATGTTCAGAACAGCACCTAACTTCATCAACAGAACATATAGGGTTCCAGCCATAGTACTAGCCACCAAAAATCTTAAGAGCTGTTTGGTGGCCAAACACAACTCACCTACTCTCTTTTAGCAGCCGCTTATTTGTATGAAGACTTGCGGGCGAGTCCATCGACTGCAGCGGGGTGACACAGCTCAAGGAAGAACATGTGAAATGCAATCAGACCAAGACGCTAAGGCGGGAGAACTACCACTTTTTGGTTGAGCGTGTGGCTCTCTGTATTGCTATCCTGCGGTCGTTACTAAAGTTGGTATAACTAGAGAAGCAAGTGGTCTTCAAAATTCATCTCTCGACGGGTTGTCTAAAGCGGTCCAACTGTGTTTGACCCTAACTTAATTTTACGCCGGAAATTCCCCTTTAATGTAGCTCTGGATTGTTAAAAAAAATCACTGGGGCGGCATGTGAATTTTTAACTCTGTGATTGGCTTTAATAATCTCACACTCATACCTCAGGAGACTTGACCTCTATTGTATTAGTCGAGGTGAGGAAGTGGATTTCTTGGCTAGTAGCCATTGTTAGCAGGCAGTATTTTTAATGTTGTTTGACACTGAGGCTCACAGCAGTGTGCAGAGGTATGCATGTTAAATACCAGCGGAGTGTTTATTCTCTCTGAAGACTCGACAAGCTGCAGGAAGCCAAAATCAGATGCTGTTCACACTTGTAGCTTTCTTTAAAGCCTGTGCCTGTGATATAACCGCCTCAGTGGTGCCTCTGTTTGAGTAATGATAAGTGTCCGTCCCTGTAGCGCGCTGGCCTGACAGGAATGAGGAAGCGAGATATTGCGATTTCATGTCAAAGGAAGCGTGACACTTTGTATTAAATGACTGGAAACTTCTCAAAAGTTTATTTTGGTGCTGTTTATGCTGAAGTGGAGTCACGGTACAGCAGGGGGGCTTAAAGGGTAGATGGAGGTCATGTTACAATCTTTAGCAAATCTTCATTTCCCGACAATACGGTCCTCTGCAGCCTCACAGTTTATATCTGACTGTCTTTTTATAGATGTTGTAAAGAGCAGCGCAGAGCCAGAGTGTGTCTGGGAACACTTGAGGTCATGTCCTCCTGTTCCTCAGGGGAAGTTGGTGGTTTTAGCGAACTGGGAGATGTGGTTGGAGTCGAAGTAATTAAAAGACAAAATCCGAAATCTTTAAAAATGACAAGCTCTTGGTACAAAATGGAGCTGTACCACAATTTTAGAGTGCGCTTTTAGTGAGATGAAGTCATAGATGGTATTAACGCGTCTTAAAATGGTGAGATATCTGCGGAGCTGCAGCTGAGATCAGCTCAACATAAACACTAACAGGATTTAACAAATGCTAAACTTGTGACTTTGACCCTGGGGTTCAATGCGCCGTGCACTTGGTGTTTCTGCCACAAAAGTGCGAGAAAAAGGAATTGGAAGTGGCGTCCATCCCCTCCTCCCGTCCCTGCCCGCTCCGGTCCCTCCGGAGGTTTTGACGGCAGCGCAACATGTCCTCGTCCTCGGCAGCTCTTTCACCATGAGCGCCATCTGTCACATCGCGCCTCGTCTTCCAGGAAATTACAGCTCAAACCAAAAGCGACAACGTTATCTGATATGTACCCTGGCGGGGCGAGGATGAACTCGGCAATCTCAGCTCGCTCTCTGCTGAATCCCAGAATCCACTCAGTCACTCTCTCAGTCACTCAGACGTCCTTGTGGATTTTAAAACGATTTGGCGGGGCATGATAAAGGAACAATCCCGCCATATTTCCTCCACCCACCTGTCTTCTTATCTACAGAGGAGACAGATTTCATCTTAAAAGCAGGGGGACTTCTCGATAGCTACCAGATAAACTGTATGTAGCAGAACAATCTTATTCCAGACTTTGATAGGAAACTGGCACCTGTTGTTGCAAACCAAAGATGAGGTTATTGAGTTTTGTTGAGGGCTCTTAAAGGCAACTTCAACTCCTGACCTCGTGTTTTGAGACATTATTTACCTTTTTGAAATATTTCCTCTTGGCTTTGAACAAAAGTAGTACTTTTCTACTTTTGGGTATAATAACGTGGCGTGGCTCCCATGTTTTGAGTATTGATCACAAGGATTAATTATCAATAACTGGAGTTACTTGATGTGTGTTTAGTAAGTTATAGATTACTGTAACCTGAAATAAAAGTTCACTTTCTTATCTGCTGCCAAATACAGAGTACACACTCCAAGACAACAGTCGATTTTTGGCCCGATTCCCAGCCTCCGACGAAAGTCAGCAAAGTCCAGATTTTATTATATTAATCTAATGATTACATGATCTGATTTTCCGGTGGTGTGAGCAGTTTTAACCTTCACGATCTGCTCGTACGGCTATCTGTGCCGACCCAGTTTGAATGTACAAAACGTGCCCAGTATTTATGATCACGTCACCTGAGGGGTGGAGACCCTGAGGACCCTCGGTGCCACATGACACCACAGCAAACGTAGCAACATGAAACATACAAACAGGAGGACATCAGGGATGAAAGACCACCTTGTTGATTTGCAGGAACAACACAGGTACTCGCATGAGGTGTCCCGTATGTTAGGGACAACTAAGTGGACGAGTGCTCTGTGTGTAATTGCCAACTAGTTGAGTAGTTGATACCACAGGGAGGGAGGTTGACGTTCGCTCGGACGTGTGGTTAAAGGCGTGTTGCTGGAGGTGTTTGGGTTACAAAAGATAGTTTTCATTGTGCACTAGAGTACGGTTCCCCTTAAATCTGTCTCGAGAAATGACTAGTCAATGACAAACGAGGAATTGGAATACTCAGCAACAAATGAAAATGAGAAATCGTGACTGTTATTTGTGTTGCCCGACCAGAATTTGCTGCTTGCCAAACAACTGGTATCGGAAGTATCCGAATTAACAAACTAAAGACCTGCTAGTATTTTGTTGAATTCGCACCAACTTGCCTTTTTCGTGATTGTACGTCAGAATCCTCCAAAACGTTAGAATACAGTTTAAAAAAAGAAGAAAGTCTAAAACTCAATCCGACCAACTTTCATCTGACTAACATGCTCTTGTGACATAAGGAGGAACCGAGGATGTGCCGTGTGGATCTTTCACCTCCGCTCAGTCTGCTTTGCTGTCAGTGTTTCTCTTTACGTGGATCTCAAACAGTCTTAAAGGAATAACAAGAAGGTACGACAGAGTTAAGACTCAAAGGTGCTCGACCTCCTCGTCTGTGTGTCGCAGTCCCAGTTCTGTCAGCTCCCATCAACCAGTGACGAACTGACGACAGAGGAAAATCACAGGAATATCTCACTGAGGGGTTTTTTCTCCTCAAGTGTGAGACGTGTTCGAAGGTTGTCTCTAACACTCAGCAGTTTGTGGGGGTGACATTAGACATTTACTTGTACGGATTCTTAAAATAAGAAAAGAAGAACTTTTTTTCTTGCTGCATCGGCAGATGTTTAAGTTTCTTCTTGAGACGGCATGGGTTGTTTTAAAAATAACATTTTTTAAACAACTGGTGTTTGTCATCGTATCATCTTTAAGGTTTGAGCCGGGCCTTATGTCAACCTCCGTCAGTTCATTGTTTTGTGTCAGTAAACGCACATGTAACAGAGAAACTGCTGGGTTAAGTAGTAGTTGACTAGCTCGCCATTAGCCCCGTAGTTGCTATAAGCTTGAACGCTGCGTGATTCAGTTTTGTTTTTGGTGGTTAAACTCAACAAACATATTAACTAATGCTCCAAATATCTTATATTTTACTCCTAACGTCACAGATATTTCAAAATAACCAACATAGAGCTGTAATTATAATACCGTATTACCACAATACCACTAGAATCTCCGGCCACCCCAAATCAATAATAGTAATATCTTAAAATAAGATGTTTACCTGAACTTGTCAGTCCAACATGGCTAAGTTAAAGCGAATAAGAGAGAAATATACTCAATAAGATTTGACTTTGCAGTCTGTACTTAATTTCACTGAAATTTATAAGACGAACCTTCAGTTTGATGGTGCGGCTCAAAAATTAGTGTCTCGAAAAAGTTAAATTTCTTTCCCATTATTTCATCCTTTAAGTAAAACGTCCATTTATTCTGGCTTCATCGCACACACAAAGTGACATATCTTGGCGGCGTTTAAAAGGCTGATTCTGTGTTCGCGTCTTGCTGAGCTGGAACACAGTTGGTACCAGGACGACCATTAGAGCCTGTCTAGACTGTTTGCCCTCGGTGAATCCAGCCTGTCTGCATGGTGCTGGATGATGTACGTCTCCGCTCTCACCCCCCCGTGGCCCATTTCGGGGTTAGCTAGAGTTTAGAGACAACTTTGTCCCCATCTCCTCGTTCGTCCTGCTACAGAGCATCACAAAGTGCGGGACTGCCCTCTCTCTCTCTCTTTCTCTCTCTCTCTTTCAGTCTTTCTTTCTCTCTCTATGTCTCACTGTTATGGCTGGGGACAGCGGACGCCCGCCACCTCCAATTTCGCTCCAGCGGTGTCTGGCTGCAGGCTGCCAACGCGCTGGTGACAGGGGTCATTTAGATGGACGCTGAGAGGGCCAGTTTAGCCAAGCCAGCCGGTCGGCCGGACAAACAAAGGAAAACAAGGCCGGGGTGGATGTCTGGGTCTAAAGCTTATGTGTTTGTAAGAAACAGATGCACTTTGTGTTTGGAGAGCGCCGCCTGAAGATGCGTTTTACTGCTGGGACTCTGTTTCATGGGCTGAGTCTGAGTGTCTGGGGCCATTTTAAGGTCACTAGTACACTGCCTTATCTTCAGCTAGAGCAGCAATTTGTAAATATAGTCACATGACTTAATCTAAAAGGCAAAAATGTGAACAAAATAGGAATTTATAGCACCTGTGGTATACCGGCCAAATATGTAGGTGAAGGCGAATTTTTTTTTTTATGTATGTAGGATCGTAGGGGAATGTCCCGCCCTCCTTCGCCTCTGATTGGCTAGAAGTGCTGGGCTCTGATTGCTTTTTCCTTATGACTGTGAAACATCATCGTCTGTCGAGTTAGGGTTAGCGTTAGGGGATTCAGAAGAGCGATAATGTTCTGTAATTTTCTGTTCGATGTACAGAGCCAACAGCCTGTGTATTATTTGCGCATGTGCTGACGTTTCCAGCTTTTCTGGCCAATCAGAGGCGAAGGAGGCAGGACTTTCCCCTACTACAAAAAAATATATTGCTAGATGAAGCTACATCCAGGGTTAGAGTTAGGGTTAGGGCACAATCACACAAAACAAGCTAAGAAATAAAGCCAGATTTTTAATGCCATTTAACCACATTGGATTGGGGTTAGGGGGTTAGAGTTAGGGTTAGAGGGGTCAGAGTTAGGGTTAGGGTCAGAGGGTTAGGGTAAGAGGGGTAACTGTTAGGGTTAGAAAGGGTTAGGGTAAGAGGGGTTAGAGTTAGGGTTAGGGTTAGGCGGTTAAGGTTAGGGTTAGGGTTATAGTGGTTAGGGTTTGGGGGGTTAGGGTAAGAGGGGTTAGGAGTTAAAGGCAGGCAATCAAAAAAGTTTTCATGATAAATCTTCCAGGCTTTATGATGTTTTCTCTCTTCCCTGGAGAAAAGTGCTCACAGGCATGTGTTAATCTCAAGGTCATATTTTCCATATTTCAAACATAACTGTTGAGATATGTAAAAAATAGAGGCGGATATTTGTACAACATTAGACAAGTAAAACAAGCATGAAAATTGTTTACTTTTTGTCAACTTGCTGTTATTAAAATAATTTTCTAAAAGCAGGTAAAAGTTATTAGGCAAACTCATTTTATCTGCTTATCATTTGATAGTATATTTCTACCGTCTGTGGCCTGTCAGGGCTGCTGTAGTAAACACTTAAATGTCCAGATAAGCTGGAAGGAACGTGCCGGTTGTTTATAGATCTCAGCTTTGACAGTATTAAATTTACTGTTAGTGGGAAGTGATTCTGAAAAAGGGAACTATAAAAGAGTGAGTGTAACATATTTGCTGTGTGTGGGCGCCGGGAGCAGACACAGTAAGAGCTCTTTTTTCTACATTGTTGTGTTTTTCCTGTGAACTTGGTGTCCCCTTTAAATGTCCGAAGGGAATCTTTCTTCCCCTCATGAGATTTATGAGGCGATATTAAAGATGATTCCAGTGAAGGTGCTTTATGTTTTCCTGTGCTTCCGCATCTAGCTGGTAAAGCAGGTCGTAAACTTCTTAGAAGAGTCCCCAGAAAGCAGTCAGGAGTTATTACCTCCGTCTCTGAGCTCAGAAGAAGGGTGTAACAGACAGTTTGTGTCCTCAGGTTTGATTGACCGGGTCACATTGTGAAGCTTGTCAAATCCTGAGACTGTCTGGACTTCCCTTTTAAAGATGCAGCAGCATTAAGTTGCATTCCTTATGTAGCAGTAGAAATTATTGTGTAAGAGAACCTTGCAACAGTTTTGAAGGTGTTCATCAAGAGTGAAGTGTGGCTGCTAATAGCATTAGTTTTGTCCAATGATATTTAAGCGAAAAAAGGGCCAAAATGTTCTGCACTCTCTTGTTTTGTATCTCACTCGTCACTCTCTGCTGCACAGTACTGCACTGTGCACTCTCCTCCTGATGTGTCTAAACTCTCTCTTAGGGCTGGGGGATATGGGGAAAAGTTTATCACTATATATATATTTTTTTCATATCAGTTGATATAGATATATATCACGATATAAAAAATGAAATTTAACAGTGCTTATTGGTAGCATGTCTTTTGCAACACGATAAGCTTCTGCACCTGTGAGATCTTGGGTTTGTAACCTTTCGCGTTGTGTGTGCTCTGTGGCGTGTCACTGCTTCAGGTGGTGAAAAAGATTTACCTCCACACCACCGACGTTTTCATGCCAGTTTTGTCGACAGTGTCATCATCTGTTGAGCCTTCATCTGCATTTCTGACGGAGGTTGCACTTATTTGGCTGTTGGCTCCAAGTGTTAAAGTGCTGTGGTTGCGTGTAGCTGCTGTCTGCTATGACGCAGTTGTTTGCTACTTTGTTCTAATTCAGCACATGATTGGTTCAGCGTGAAGCGGACCCGGAGCAACTCTCCTTTTCATTGGATATTCGTATAGTCTACCAAAACACATCAGAATGTCAACTATTGAAAAGCATTTTGACCATATTTATATTGATATTGATGTAAATTAATTATCGTTTTATCGCCCAGCCCTACTCTGTCTGCATAACAAATATCAGCCAAGTAACTTCACTGATAGTTGTCATCATCTACTGTTGGTATGTTACAATACATTATATATTATGAGCTTTGGATGGTGCAGGTGCTTTGCAGACAGGTCTCGTGAAAATGTTTAATAACCATCAACGTCCACCCAAAAACAGACCTCATTCACTAGATTCGATTTTTCATTATCTGGCAACTTTCTGGTCTCTGTAACATAAAGTTTATTCTGTGCTTGATTTATAATGATAATTGTGGCTGCCTGAAAAATATGAGAGGCTAAGAGAGGCCATTAGTCATGTAAAATATGTGTACAATCTGCAGTTAATGAGCCACACATGAAAAATAACTGACAGCCCATTAAAACCCATTTCCCACCAGAATCGCTTATTTCATTCCTAGAACCTTCTCAGAAATGTCACTCGGCTCTGATCCGTTCTGAGAAGCCCACTCTGCTCACCAGCGCAGTCCTGCAGAGTTATTGATCGATGTCGGACCCTGTCTGGCTCCGGGTTGAAACTGGGGGCCTCAGGGATCCAGGCAGTCAGATGGAGAGGGACACTGGAATGGCAGAGCTGCTAGTGGTGGGCTTAAAGCTGCAGTGCTATTGATTGACACAAGAGATAGAAGCAGAGCTGAAAGTAAGACAAAGAAGAAAGAAATATTACAGTCTGGAACCATCCCCAGGTGGTTTTGGTAGCCAAATGGAGCCTCTATGCCAACCTGATATGAGCAGATTATATCTTTCTCTGCAATATTTGCAGCAGTCTCACTGGAATTAAACAATGCTTCAGGAAACAGAAGATAAGCTGAAATTAGACATAACTGCACTCCCATATCTCATGTTTTCACACAAAAGTAATCCATCTCTGACCACAGACTGCATGAAACAAGTACGTAGTCTCGGGCCTTGTTTAGATGAGAATGACCAGACAAAATGGAAAAGTTAATCCCTTTCTACCGCATACAGTTCAGTAACGTCACCTTTTTGACGGCTTCAGTATCACCATGGACACAAAGCCTGGATTTTAATGCTGCGTTCCAGTTACCTCAGAAGTCGGATGTCGGAGCTGGGAATGACGTTACACCCGAGTTGACGGCGTTCCAGTTAACAAGTCGGAAAACCGAGATGGACGCCTACACTTACCCGTTGTTTACAATTGTCAGCTGTTGTTGGCCGTTGTCAGCTGTTGTTAGCGGTAGTCATCTGTTGTTAGCGATACCAGTTGATACCAAATCCCGATTTCTGAGTACAACTGGAACACAGCATAAGATTCTGCGATCAAAGTTGGAAATTTACCATCAGTTGTGAATTCTAAAATCAAGGTCAAAGTTTTACAATGAACTTGGGATTCCGGAATCGATTTCGAATTCTGAGTTCAATTCTGAGTTAGAATTCTGTTGTCAATTTAGAATTCTGAGATCAAAGCCACGTGAAGGATTTGAAGCCAGATTCCACAGTCAAAGTTGAACTCTGAGACTAAAGTCAGAACCTTTTGTATTTTTGAAGTCTTTGAGATATTAACCTGACTTCTGAGAGAAAAAGAGTCAAAATTGTGAATTCTTTTATTTACCTTTAAGTTTTGGGACTGAAAGACTTTTGGGTAGAGATGGTTTTGTAATTATGTCGTGTTTGTACTTAAGCTTTACCTGTCCGTCTGCAGCTCTGTCAAACTCAGATCTCTGTCTCCTGTTTAACACTGAACACCTGTTTAGGATTTTCAGGTACTGCATTGTTCACTCCCCTGTGTGTACTTAAACAGAACAGCTGTGTTTACATCTTTTTGTTAATATTTGTTCACCGCATTATTTGAATACCTTTCCTTTTTGTGAGCACGACTAATCCTTAATCCTCCACGAGTCTGCAGTCATCATCGTACAGCTAAATGATACTGACAGTGGTCACGATGGAGAACATTATGAGCCTTACTGATGAATTAGTAGACAGTGGGAGATCCCATTTGACATTCGGTTTAGGACATTCAGGCAGATTCGTGCTGGCTGTAAAATGACAGCTGCTTTCTATTGTTTTATGAGCCGTTCCCAAACCAATACTGGTCATGAAAATCCTAAAATACACCCTACAAGGAAGATGTACCAATGAAAATTCACCTTTTAATGAAAAACCTACCCATTGATTTCAGGAGACCGCAATGCAACACCACCACTGGCTGTGATGTTGCTTATTGCTACACCTGTCTGAATTCATTCCCATTTGTCTGAATGTTAGATCACAATTACAATTAGTCTTTATTCAAGGTTTTCATTAGTTACTCACCCATCCAAAGTACGAAATAAGACACTTTTGAAGTACAACTGTAGAGGGGCTGCAAGCTGAGCTACTAACGATGAAATATCCATTTTTTTTTCTCTGTCAGGACTTTTTTTGTGTAGGAGTCCTTTATTGCCTATCATTCGAGGTTTTTGTCAGTAACCTACTCATCCAGAGAGCCAAATGAAACAGACTTTTGAACCATAACTGTTGAGGTGCTGTGAGCTGAGCTGCTACCTACATTAGATCAACTTTTTTTTGTCAATGCTTTTGAACGAGGAGTGTTTGATCGGTTATCATTCAAGGATTTATCAGTAACTAACATGCCTAAAGTGCAAAATAAAACTGACTTTTGAACAACAAATGTGGAGGGGCTGCAAGCTGAGCTGCCACTGATGTTTGATCACGTAGTTTTCAAGTTGGGATTGCTTTATTGGTCATCATCCAAGCTTTCATTGGTTATTTACTCCTCCATAGTACGATGTGAAAAAGACTTTTGAACTCCACCTGCTTTTAATGGCATCTTGGCACCCTGAAGAAGACAGATTATCACGTTAAGATGCTGTTTTATGTTTTGCACTAATGCCAGATTCAGAGCCAGGTATCGAAAACATCTCTGGTATCTCAGCTAACCGTATGCAGCCACAGCGTACGGCCTGTGATTTGCTTTTTCCTCAGCTCTGAGACAAAAATGTCAAATTCCTCCCAGTGTGCCAGGCGGTCGGGCCTTCTCATTTAGATTCAGCAGCGTCTGCCAGGAAAGATGCAGAGACGAGATCACGATTCCTTTGAAAGCGAGCAAACCGAGTACTTGACAGCACTTGAAGTCTCCCATCTTAACAGCATGTATCTGAGGTTTGGTGGCGGTGGCGCTGCGTGTCGGGGCGGGTTTGAAGGGGGGAAGATTATTGGCAGGAGCCTGTGATGGAGTGGAAGATAGAGCCGGCTGTCACAACAGTTTGAGGAGAGTCCCTTTGAAATGACAGAGAGGACTAAAACATCCACCCTGCTGCCTCATCCTCCTCTCCGCTCAGAGTCCATTTTGATTTGTGGTTTATGATGTGCACTTTATTGCAGCTTATCTTACATGTACAGTGTTCACTCCTGCTCAAAATGGCTGCCGTGGATGGCAGACGCTGCTGTTTTCGGCCCTCAGCAAAGCACCTACATGCAACAGCTTTCAGCCGGGAAAAAAACAAACAAACTTGTGAACATATCGAAGGAAATGAAAGTCTGATACTGAGATTGCTCATTAGCATGTATCCTCCATCTCAGCTGAGAGGGAAAAACAAACTTGAGATTAAAATGAGTCATTGATATTCAAAGAGGTGCTCTCGAGTCTGGCTGGATAATAAGGAAGCACATTCTGTTCGGACAAACTGAGGAGAAAATGGACCTCACATTGAACTGACTGTTTTACCGAGATCATTGATTTTAATCATTGACCACGACACCCTGCAGACGCTAATTTACACTCTTATGCCCTTGAGGCTTTGCTGTTAGACAGCAACAAAACAAAAACACTTACATTAATGAAAAGTGTTTGTTTTGAACACTCATATCTATCTTTTTTAACTGCATGACCCTGGTAGTCCACCCTGTAGGACATGGCGTAGTCTCTTCTGTCGTCCAAAAGTTCTTGATAGTCCAAAATTACCAGTAACTTCTAAGGAATGAGGTTCAGAGCTTCGTAGACCAAAACTGCATTTGACATCTGCTGCTGCTGCACACTTTGACATTTTAACATGAGTGTTATTTGGGTTTACTTCGCTTTCAGTTACTGCCTCAAGTGGACACCAAAGGAACTGCAGTTACCAGCACTTCCACACTGGCGTCATTTGTCAACACAGGAGATAACAACTGTATAGAAAATGAAAGCTGAGGTGATGGGGTGGATAGATTGACAGTTAATATATTGAGAAATGGACGAATGAGAAATGGACGGTGTTGGATGAATGACGACAAAGGCAGACAGATGGGTGGGTTGTTGGACCAAAGGGTGGATGTAAATAGATGGTCCATCAACGGAGGGACAGATGGATGTATGACAGACAGATGAAGGAATGTTTGAAGGATAGAGAGATGGCCAAATGCTTGGACGGATGACAGAGATGGATGGATGGCAGATCGATGGACCAAAAGGTGAATCATAGGATCGAAGGGTAGATGGAAAAAAGAGTAATAGAGGAATGGATGGATGATAGGTGAATGAAAAGATGGATGAATGCTTGAATTTGGCAGATGGGTTGAAGATGATGTATGGATAGAGGAATGGATGACAGGTAGGCAAGTGGAGAGATAGATGGATGGATGATGATGATGAATGAATGGTTGATGGAGGGATGGACAAATGAAAGGATGGATGGCAGATAGAGAGGATGGACGAATGCTTGGATGGAGGATGGACTGATTGATGGATCAAGTTGATGGGGCATTAAAGATTAGATAGAAAACAGATGATAACTAAATGGACATGATCAATAAAGTCTATTTACCAATGTTATAAAAATATCTTAGTAGTTTGAGACTGGACCCTGAAATGAGGATGTTTCCTGGTGTATGTTGGAAAGCTCCACTCCTTCATGAATCACACCAGTCCTGCCCCAGCTTTGTCCATAAACTCTGACCAGTCACAGTTTTTATACGGGAGCTTTGTCTAGTCAAAGGTCTTAGTCATACTTGTTGTACCAACAGCTCTGACTTCCTGAATATCACTCTGTCTGCTCTCAGTGTTTTACAGGAAAAAGAAAAATCTACTCCCACACAATGACCCGTATTGTTAGGTCTGACAGGAACTGTGTGTGTGTGTGTGTGTCATGGATCAGCTGTTGAGTATTGTCTTTGTTAATGTTTAATGTGTAAGGGCTTTCAGCTGACATACTGCATCTTCTGGGTGACATATTGGAGGGTTAAGATGTAAACAAATGGTACAATATTGGTTTTGGACTTTCTGTTTCAAAACCTAGCTGACTAGGACAGTGATGTCTGTCGTTGACATTGTGGATCAAACTGTAATTGTGTGAAGAAGTAGGCTAGCTGTAGTCCTTGCTCTTCTTGTCATGAATTTTTTTAACTTTGTGTTGTATTCACTAAAACTATCTCAAATCAGCAATTCTACACTTGCCATTTCTATGAAGCTAATGCTAGCTATGGTTACCGCTGCTCATATTTCTTTGTTATAATTTGTTGCGATGACGACTTTTTAGCCGACTTCAGAGATTGGATATATTGAAACTCAGGGACTTTATTTTCTTCTCACTGAATACGGTGCATGTTTTTTGAATTACACTTATGTTATCTTCTCTGGAACAGTGAGAAACATCCACACCGGTGACGCCATGTTTACTCTCATCAGCTGTTAGCAGCTTTGCCTTTTCTTCTTGAATCTCCATTTACAGTTGATAATTGTTTAGTCTGTTATCGCCATTACACCACGTTCCTCAAAGGGTTAACATTGGGTTTATGGGTATGGGGAGAGCATAAAGTGTCTTTATATGCAGATGATGTAATATTATATGTACCAAATCCATCCAAACCAATATTTGAAATTCATACCGGATCTGGAAGATTACATGGATCCTTATAAATATCAACGCACAAAGCTCAAAAATCATGTATCTTCAGTATAAATCACTTATTCTATAAAAGTTCTTATTCTTTGTGTAACTTTTCACATTTCAGGAGTAAAGACTCATTCGATGTTCGTAAACCGTATTATACATTTTAGTGGGCGGGGTTTAGCTCGAAGCACAAATATGTAGTATTAACCAGTATTAGACAGGAAGTTGTTTTGCAGATGATAACACGGGACCAAGAGTGGGACTTTTCAGTGAAACCACATTTTCAGAAACATGTTGCTCTCTTGTAGTTGTTGAACTTTGAATTGGCCCGTCTTCGTTTGTAAGAACATCACTAACACTGGCTCCAGTTTGAGTTTGAGACACCTGAACTAAACAGGTCGTTATTGGGAAGAACAATTTATGATAGGTGACTTTTCTGCTGCGACAAATATTCAACACAACTTAGTGTCACTGCTGCAGGATTATAATTGGACGAAGACGTGTCAAACTGATCGTAAAAGCAACACTTTTTATGATTTGTCTTCAGAGGAGCATATTTACAAAGTTGTTCTTCTTCTGTTTTTATTGATTCTTGGAGTACAGTCCTTCATCCAGCCAAAAAAACCTGCTGAAATGAATATTTTATGAAAAAGTACCATCATTGATTTTCTGCAGTCAAACCAGGCGCTGATTTACATCCCTGTGTGCCGACAGTTTCATTATCCTTCGGAGGTTTTATATTTTCACACCCAACATAACAGCGAGGACTGCCTGTTTTTGTCCCTGTTAGTTAAAAAGACCAAATTGCTGAATAAATTTGTGGTATTTAATTCTGGTTCTGCCTGTTTAGAGCCCATTCCACACAGAGTGGATGTCCTCGCGCTAATAATGGCATTTATTCCCCCAAAACTGGTGCATAACAATGGCAACTCTCTGAAGCAGCATCAGTTAATAGCTCGGAGCTCATGTTTGCTTCCTCTTTGAAATTAAGAGACAATCTTAATAAATTGGTTTTATAAATAAATCGCTCTGGCAGATCTGATGCTTCGAAAACACCGGGGAGTTTTGGCTCTACTTTGCAGCTCTGCTAATTGAGAGGATTCAGAGCGCTTTTGACAGATTGAGTGGACTGCAGTGCGTTGCATGATTTAGTAGACGGAGGGGCGAGATGCCAGAGTGAAAACATTTCAGAGGGTTGGCAGGATGGAGAGCTGCACTCAAAGGAGAAGGCAGCGGGCAGCTCGGTGCTCGAATTTCTGCTGTCTACATGTTTGGACCGGTAGCTACAATGTGGGTGTTTAACTGCTGGTTTCAAAAGGTTAAATGGTTCACAGTGTGGTCAGCTGGGAGAATTAAACTGTTAAAATAGTGGTCGACTGCATATCTGATTAAACTGTGGTCGTGACCTGAACAAAGAGGCTTTTAAAGAGACAAGGAGGATCTCGCACAGGTGTTCTCCGTCAACCTGAGCGGACAACCACACCTACCAAGTACATAAACCTGCACGACAAGACTTAAAGACATGGTTGACGATCTAATAAGCAGAAGATCCTACGCTAGCTTCAAATAGGATTCACCATGTCAGATTGTTAGTGACTAGCGGCAGTAAACGCCAGCTCTGCTAGCAAGCGCCGTCTGCAGCTGCCGTCTTGACACTGCAGAGACTAATAAGAGTTATTTCTGTAACATGCGCCACGATAAAAGGCGATAAAAATGACCTGTTCAACAAAAACTCTGCTGTCTCAGCGTCTGTTTCCAGGACCAAATCCTGGCGGAGCTTTCTCCACCACTCAGAGGACGACCCGATGTTTATTGGAGATAGATTCCTCTCTTGGTCACATTTCCTCTTCGACTCCGCCCTTTCTTCTGTCTTTTGGCGTCCTTCTCCATCACAGCTCCTGTAGCTAAGCTGCTACGCTACTTTTAGCCACTCAGAGGAGGGCCGGGAGAGTGGGAGGGGACGAGTCGGAACTACAGGAGAGGGGTGTGTCGAATACAGCGAGGTGATTGGATGGAGAGGCTGAGCAGGAGATTGACCAATGGGAGCTGTCCGGGATGGACGGCTCCCATTGGTCAATGTTTTTGCAGCCCTGCACCTGCTGGGGTTTTTCCATTCTTTTGTCTCCATGATCGCCATAGAAACGAGGTTCATAATAACTCCCAGTCTCTCCAATCGTCAACCACGCCTTTAACAAGTTTCCCTCTCTTATATCAGACATGTAAAGCTGCATTACAGCTCTGTTCTACTACCACAGAGACCCAGTTTTTCATTCAGCACCAGCAGACAGATGGCAAAAGTGGCAAGACAAGACTCGACCGTAACTGGCAGAAACCCTGAGCAGACCAAGAACTGTTGGAGCAGCCGTTTGGCTTGACCGGATCAGAAAAGTGTTAGAATGAAAAACCTGCAAGAAAATATCGACTTAAAAAAAAACTGCAATGCAAGGTTTTTCTACTTTGTCTATTTCAGATTAAAAGACTCCATGTTGACACAAGATTGAACGACGTCAGTGAAATGTCATAATGAGATGATCCAGGCCTGAGGTCGACAGGTCATCCATGTTTAGAGTGGCGTCGGTGTTGTACCTCTTGGTTTAGTTTGGGGAACTCATCAGGATGTGGATCATAACGGCTTTCAGTGACGTTTTTACTATTTGAGTTTGGACCCCAGTGTCCTGAGCTGCTTTACCCATCCATAACCGGGGACCACCATCACAGGAAGACTGAACATTTCTACCAGAAGCTTAGAATGACAGCTCTCAATAAGAATGCTGATGCTACTTGTTTGCAGGATCCACCAAATCAAGCCTGAATCCTTCCTTTGTTCGCTCATTAAAATAAGTCAAATTCTTGTATCTCTGCAGCCCGTCATCGACACTCATGACCAGCTCCTCTCCTGACGATTCACCTCCGGACACGGCCAAACTGAAGTATCTCATCAGACTCTTTGTCACTCGTACGGGCCGAGCAACCGAGCAGAACAAATGTTGTGTCTGTGAGGATGTCTGCGCTCGGCCGACGGTGTCACATGTATTTGTCTCCTCGCTCTCTGTTTGTGTGAGAGAGACTGGGCAGTGTCAGAGCTTCAACTCTAATCCCTACCTGAATGTTCAGCTGGGAGCTCTGACTGCAGTCGCCATTATTCCCGTTATCAGAGACCCGTTCTGTCGTGGTAATTTAATATCTGACATCAGTCTTCAGACTGTTTGTCAATTTATTCTGTGGAGCAGCTGTATTTTTTATTAAATTTGGCCATAACATTCAGAAATGTAGAGATTCCAAGTCGTAAAGTTTGATTGTGTTGAACAAAATCAAACAAACCGAGGACCCGGAAACCCGATTTTAAATCTTGCAAAAAAGGGAACAGAAGTCATATACAGTTTCCTTTTGGGGATCAATAAAGTTCTTATCCTCTTATCGTATTCTCTGGTTAGGGATGTGGGTGTTTAGTTATCCGCGTGATTTAAGGTCGTCACTCTGTCATGTTCGCACCAGAGTTAAACTATTATCAACATTTCTATCATCGTAGATCATAATTATATGTCGTGTAAGTCGGAGTTTAGTAACCCACCATAAATCAGAGCTGTAGCTCAAGTCATGGCGACTACCCGGATCTGATGAGCGCTGATGGTTTGCCAATATATTGATCCATATTATGGAGCTAAACTAACACAGAGATGTGAATGTTAACTCGTGAGGAGAACCACAGGATGGTGGTGCTAGCTCTGCTAACGTTCGCCAAACTTGGTGAACCAATTAGACCAGTTTTGACCTGCAGACTTGGATCTTGTGTTTAGCTGTTTTCAACAAATTAGGTGATAATTTGACGGTGCCTTATCAACTAGTAGTTGGCTAGTCTGAATTCAGATAGTTTATCGTTGTTTAGGAATATTCCTAACTGTTTCAGTGATACTGAGATACAGATTTTGCCCAAATGGTCTTTTATTAGAATTATCCAAAAAGTCTGGTCCTCTCTCTTCATCAGAGTTGGGTTTTTTCACATTAAACACTTCTACTGAGTGTTTTCCAAGAATAAATACAGACGTGATGACGTTTGTCGGGGCGCTGATTGCGAGGAATCTCATGGGGGTTGTAATCTGTGCCTCAGCGTGCAAAGAAACAGCTGATTTCCTGATAATCCTCTGATGGAGAGTAAGACGAGGACTTTCTCGGATCTCAGGGGTCTTTGGGAGCCTGGAAACACCATCCAGATCCAGACATGTTGTTCAAACTACTTCATAAGAATCTCCCAGTGTGTAAGAAGTTAAAAACAAGTCAACAAAAGACGGACTGGGCAGACGTAATGTTTTTAGATACTGGACACTAAATTCTGAGCCAAACACAGTTGACGATTCATCACTGGAGCTGCAGTACGACTCAAACAAGTCGTTTCAGCGGCTTTGTCTTTCAGTAAAGAAAAAAAAAAAAGCTTTTTACGGTTTTCTTTAGTGGAGGAAAGTTCATAAACAGAAGAGTGGGGTTTCTACTTCACACTCACCCAGCTCTGCTTTGTTATATCAGGAAGTGTTGAGTTCAGTCAACTTTTGACCTCGTGTCATGATATCAGCCGACACGCCTCGGCACTCTGCAAACATTTGAATTTACAATCGGGCACTTTTACTGTGATAGCGCCGTGTTTAACCACGCTGTTTATGCTGATCTTTGACTCACTGCAGTTATTTCTGATCCTGAAGTTTAACCTCTGTTACCGGGTCTCTCTGGAGCTCGGAGGGAAAACTCCTGATCCGAACATCCAGTGAAGAAATTTCGTCTTTTTCAGGTTCTTATGTAAGAACATCTCGTGTAGAAAGGACCTGAGATAACCAGAGTTTGTAGCCGGCATGAGTCCACATGGACTGCACTCAAGTTGCACGTTTTCTATTATTTATTCTTTGGAGCACTTCATGAAAAAATGATACCAAGTGTTTCAGTCTTTGGGGTTAACCCTGCTCTTTTTTTAGCGTTACAAGATTGTGCTTTGAGTCGTTTTTTCCGTCTGCCATGAAGCGTGATGGCGAACAAAGCCTGCGACATGGACGAAGTCAGGGAACAGAGCTGGTGACGTCTGTCCCGATGTGTCGGAGAGAATGTTACGTCAGAGATGACAGTTAAGAAGCTGTTGATGTACCGTCTTTGCTAACTCTGACGCCATTGGACACCAGACTGGCCTAGTGTGTAAACCATAGACTGTAGATAGAATGAAGCCACCGCGAGAACAGCACCCTCTGGTGACGGTTTGCAGTATAGGTCATAAATCCCGCCTCCTCCAGCGATTTCTATGGAGCTGTGGACAAACTTTAGAAATTAATGACACAGAATATAAATGTTTCTCCCTCCTGGTTGTGATGTTGACATGTAGTTACTGTAAGACTGGTTTGTGCTCAAGTCCTCTTTTTTTCTGTATGGCTATGTTTTTAAAGGTTATTAGGGGGTTCATGTTTTCTATGATTGACACTTGATACAGCCTATGGGCGTACAAAGATTGCGTAGCTAACCCGGGGGATACGCTGACGACTCTCCCGCTGAGTGCCCACAACGCTACTGCGCAATGTTGGTTTCAGGAAATAGAAAAAAATGCGTAATTACCGAGAACTTTTCGGCTTCAAATCTGTATAATGGCGGAAGGCGGAGCCAAGTTGTCCGTAGTTTATACAGTTGTAGCAATCAAGACAACCCTGGATGTGAAACCCACACATTCCTTACAGGAAAGTTTCCTTATCTGGTCCCAGGAAACAGGATATAAATCTTTCCAGACGTGTTTGCACTTTCAGGTTAAATAAGTGACCCAACAGGAGGTTGACTAAACCTCTGACTCTTCACGATTGGTCAATTCGGAGAACAGAGACAGAGTTTTATTACCTTTCAAACTGACTCCATTTGCTGACCATCTAAATAAACATTAACGTCTCAACCCAGATCTCCCATTTGAGATTTAGTGTCTTAAAGTGTGTGAACATACGGACCCTAGGAAAAGGGGGACACTGACCTCCAGACCTCGGTCGTAAAACCCTGCTCGACCATACACTGATAAAGACTGCATTCCTTTGGTGAAAGAATACAAATGACTGATCATGACATCTTATGCATTCAGCAATTTACTAATCTGTCTAATCATAAAATTTGTGTTAAAATGAGATGTTTCCCGTTTTTCTATGTGCTTCAGAAGCAGAGTTATCTTATCTGACAGAATAAATCCTTTATTCTTTAGTTTCTTTAGACCAACAGCTTTTCAGACTGTTTCATGAACTTTTAAGAGTTAAATTTATTGACTATGAATCCTAAGTTTACTCTAAGTAACAGAAATAGTTTAGAAATGTTTGGTTTATATTGTAGTTGTTTATTTAGTATTTTTAACCATTAGGTGGTTATAATGTCATTGAATAACCTTAATGTGAGTATTTAGAATCCATTATTAATCATGATGAAGTTCATTCACATGTGTTTACGCTTTTGTTGTTTACAGTTTCCATGTGTTACTGTCTGTTTCATTTCAGAGTAATTTAGCATGTTCAATGTGATACTTAAAACATAATGAGAATGTTTGATGTGATCCTACACTTCATTCATATGTGTTTAGTGTCAAATTATTTGTCATGAAACCAAGCATTCAATGATATTAATCATAGTGAGTGAGTATCAGATCTGACTCTTTACCAGCCAAAAGAATAAGTTAGATCAAATAATCAAAGACCACACGACCCCTCCTCTGTCTCCTCACACACACGCCGGAGCCACTCCCAGTGTGAAGAAGATAAAACCAGTGAAGTCGGGTTGCTCATTTTTTTTTTCTCTTATGTCTCTTTCCTCTTATGCTTCTGCTCTTCTGCTGACTCTCTTGTCCCCGGCTCTTATGCCCCTTCTCTTCTGCCCACACCCTTCTGTGGTGCGTTTCTTTGTTTTCTCTTAGAACTTTTTCTTAGTCTTCTAAGTTTTACGCCACGTGTTGATTCACGTTGATTTTTCTTTAACATCGTCTTAGTTCAAGTTTTGAAACTTCAACTTTTTGTGCACATAGCAATTCAAGATTAAGCCTTTGATTGATTTTTCTTTAATTTCGCGAAGCCATTTTTGAAAGTTTTCTCTGCTCTTTGAGCCTCGTTTTTCTGAGTTTTCTGCGTGATTCAAAGTCACCTCTGAACGCAACCCAGCAGGCCCAGGTCATCCTCTGTGCCAGAGTTTTTAAGTGAGACCAAAGAAGTACCCAAACGAGCATCCACAGGATCCACAGGCGCTGGCTTTGCTTCGGGCCCGAGTGCTGCAACTCCTGGCTCATCCTTCGGCTGACTTCAGTCGTCTTCTGAGCTGAACCGCTCGAACCGCCAGTAGCCCGGACCTTCGGAACCTGCTCCATCTTCTCCAAGGACCAGTCTCACTTAAGTATGCAAACCTCCAGAGCTCTAAAGAGGGCTGGTGCTGTCTCCTGCGTTCATAGCTCAGATATCCACCTATTTCTGGTGATCTTAGATTCCTCCAAATCCACATCCGAGTTTATCTCGACACCAAAGTTAGTGTAGGTTAATATGTTAGCGCATATTCACTCACTATCATTAACTTTAGTGCTCCTAGCCTGACTCAGAATCTTTATTTATTCACCTATTATTATTTATCTTCGTTATCTTATCATCATTTATTGCATGTGTGTTGTACCATCATTTATCCTGTAATAAACAGATCATTATTTTTCTAAGTTCCTGTCTGTTAGTGTTCTTCCAGAAGTGGAGTCCCTGAAATTAGAATTTCGACTTAAGATATGAGACTGATTAATTAAGACTGATTAATTAAGACTGATTAATTAAAACTGACTTGATGTTTGATTTCTGAATTAAACTTTTGTTTTCTTTATTTTCCCACCATTAAGGGTGGGTGGTGCCCCTTTCAACGAGTGCATAAATGTCATAATTTGAGATTATTAATCTTCAGACATTTATTATAAATTCCAATCGCCAAGTATTATTTTGGTGCGGCCTTGTGAGGCTCATTTCAAATCGCTACATATATTTTGGTGCGACCGTATGAGGCTCACTTCAAATCACTACATATATTTTGGAGCCCCTGCGTGAGGCGTTTCAAACAAAACTTCTGGATACTAACAGACAACCTAAAACTTAGCCTTCCAAATTGATGAGAGAAACTTATTCCCAGGCTGTTTTAGACTTAATCACTATCAATGCTATGCTTGCTGAAGTTGCTTGACTAAGTTCTGATGTTTTCCTGATCTATGCATAAAAGCTTTATGCTCTGTGTTTCACACACTTTTGTACTACATGCCTGTAGTCTGTGTTTGAGCTGGACAGCGTGAATGGTTGTTCTGAGTAGCAGTGAGACTGCTTCTTCTGCTCTGTCTAGACTGTCCAATATTTAAGTGCACGATTGTTGCGTCGCCGTACGCTTGTATTTAAGGCCTTTGGCTGAACCCAGTGTTCGCGATGCTCCGAGCTGTGGTTTCAAGCCCCTGAAGTCTCTGTAGTCTGCTACGAGGTTCTAGTAACTATATGGGATTCAGATTTCCTCCTTTCCCCTGACAGATTAGCTACCTGTCACAGGAAACCACTGTAACAGTGGGAGGTTGTTGTTTGATTGAATTGAGACAAAATTTGTGTTCACAAATCGCCGCATTTGTGATTTTTAAGTTTGCAGTTGAATCTGCTGTTGAGGGATTTGTCACTTTGATTCTTGTCTCTATAGTCTGCTATGAAGTTCTAGTAACTATATGGGATTTAGATTTCCTCCTTTCCCCTGACAGATAAGCTATCTGTCACAGGAAACCACTGTAGCAGTGGGAGGTTGTTGTTTGAATGAATTCAGACAAAATCCGTGATCACGAATCACCGCATTTGTGATTTTAAAGTCTGCAGTTGAATCTGCTGTTTAAGGATTTGTCACTTTGATTCTTGTTCCTGTAAATGATTTTATTGAACCAATCTGCCTGAGCAGATGGTGTAAAGTTCTATGTTTGAGGGTGCAGACGCAGCCTGCTGTGAAGAGTTAACCCTTTGTTGTCAGTGGAGAGACTGACCTTTTGGCCTTAAGTAGATAAGGCCCTTCAAGGAGGCAGAGCCTAAAGGCCCCTTCCTGCATACTTTCCAACTTCACAGCTACAAGAGGCTAGTTGGATGACTGTTTCCTCTTCTCTTCTTCTTCTCCACTTGTGTTGAGCTTGTGCAGTTCTCCCAACTCCATACTGCCCCACATGGTTGCTTTTGGTATTGAGCTAACACTGTTATCTGCCTGCAGTATCAGCCAGCTGTACTGCCTCTCTGTAGTCAGTGTGTAACACTCTACAGACATAATTCAAGTGATTGACTTGGTTGATGAAGTTTGATGTGCTTATTCTAAATCATTGATCACTGATTTTTTTGATTTTTATCTTTGTTATAAGAGCCTACATAATGTATTGATAAAGTAACTCCTTGAATCAATCACCTGATCTGTTGTTACTTATTACACCATTGAGCAGTTTTACTGTTCCCTATAATACATGAATGTATTAACCCTCCTCATAAGATTAATTAATTAATGAACAAATTAATTAATATTTGAAATCTATTTTACCATTTCAGATGAATTTGGTAGTTGAACCTTTGGATTTATTGCAATTTGTGAATTAACTTCAGAGTTAATTCCTTGAATTGACAATTTCATTGATTTTTCAAATTCATCCAACTGCATCAGGCAGTTTATTTAATCTTTGCTGATCTCTGCAACACGGAGACAAACTGAACCCTTTATTCAATGGTTCTGTATCTGATGTTAAATTTAATTTAACATTATTTCACCTTGTTTTATTTCAGTTTTCATTGAAATGAACTTAACTTTATGTTATTTTCCTCTCCATTAGAGATCTACTCAGATAGGCTCTTCCTCTTTATCAAGCACTGATAAATTAAGTCGATTAACCCACTTAATTTGATATTTTGCTTCTTCCTTTGATTTTAAGTCCACTCAAACTCATCAACCAACCACCTGCACCTCTTTACCAAAACCAAACATGCCTAACACAAAAGAGTCCAGCCAGGGAGACCCCCTGAGGGACATACACCCAGTGTTGGCAAACTTGACTAGTCAGCTGATACCTCAGTACATGACTAAGATTCAAAAGGCCAAACCCTCCAATCCGGAGGATGAAATGGCTGACCTACTGGAAACAGCCTTAACCATGACACTTCGTGACAAAGAGCTCACTAGACGCATGTCTGTCGTGATGTCTTCTCAGCTTGAGTATAAAGACTACTTGCTGGAATGCGCTTTAGCAAAGATAAAGACGCAAAAAGAAGAAAACAGCGCTCTGAAAAAGACGCTAGAAGAGACTAAGAAGTCTCTAAGTGTTTTAGAAAAACACAGTGCCAGATGTGAAGCGTCAAAGCTTCCCTCACTGATAAGTCATGAAGAAAATCTTGATCTTAAAGACAAGATTGAAAGACTTAATGAAACCCTTTACAAAAAGGAGAAAGAACTTGATGACACGAATAAGCAGCTTGCTAAGACCACAGAGGATCTGATACAGTCAGAATCCCTACTAGAGCAAGCAACAGAAGATGTAAAAGCTTTGAAAGCACTGGTCAAAGTGCGTGCTGAAGCTCTTGAAGTTAAGGAGAAGCAAACTTCTACCTTACAGCACCAGCTCCAGATAGCTCAAAGACAGTTAATTCTTTGTCAAGAACGGCAAGAAAAGACAGACAAAGAACTTGAAGATGCCCAAAGAGAGTTACAATGCTCCCTCCAGTCAGGTCGAGCCCAAAGAGAACGCATGGAGCAAACTTTTCTTGAAGAAATGATAGGTGATCAGCCTCCTGAGAGAGCGCCATCACTTCCTTCCAAACCAACTCTTAAGTATCTCTCTCAGCATCATGACAGGACCCTGCTTGACCCTGAGAGGTCATCCTTAAACCAAGAGTCCTACTCTCCTCCCCATGATGGCTTCTTACCATTTCCCTCAGATAGGGATCTTGACAAAATTGCTCGCATCATAGCACGCTTTGAACCTGAGCACCAAGGTGCTACTGACACCTGCACCTACTTGAAAGACATTGACTTTTACCTGCGGAAATTTCCAGGTGCAACCACTGATGACAAAATCTACCTTATTAAGGCGACGTCAAGTCGAGAGGTTAGCAGTTTCCTTGAACGACAGCCTTATCATGTCAGAAATAATTATGACTTGCTCTGCCAAGCATTAATCGAAGAGTTTTCTGATCATTTGACCCAGACAGGCCTTTCTGCTGCTCTGTCTATTAAACAAGGGAGATCAGAACCTCCCCAACATTATTACAACCGCTTACGCGAAGCTTACTTTGGTTTCCGAAATGAACCAGAAATGGAGGAGGACTTGAACTTCAAAACGCTGTTCGTCCAGAACCTCCACCCTACCACCAGTCATCACCTTGGTGTCTTAGCTTGTCCAAACACTTCGACTAGCCGATAGCTTCGTGAACTTGCTGTAAAAGGTTTTGCCAAACAACGACAAACTTTGGCTAAGAAAGCAGAGCCCGTTACTCTCTTGGCTATGGAGACAAAATCACTGCCCATGGAGCTGAATGAAGCTTCAGACTGTGTTTTTTCAGGCTCCGATAAGCCTCCAAATGAGTGGTTAACCAGGCCTCCAAAACCTTTTCGACCTCAACAAACTCACAAAGGTCAAAGTTACACACCAAGGCCCAGTTCTGACACAGACCAATGCCAGGTAAACTTTGAGACCAACTGTTGTTATTTAGACTCCCGTCACGGTGGGTTTTATCCCAGACAAAGGAAAAACCATCAACACCGCCAAAGGGGGGTGAATGACTGGCAGAATCAGAGTAAATCACACTCTCAGAAACGACGATCTTATTATCCACCTCAATCGGTTTCATCCACTTCGAAGGTGCATAAACATGACAACTCAGCTAACCACTGAGATTAACACTGTGGAGTCATGAAGGTGTGAGTCCTGCGAAAGCAGAAGTCACCTAGCCAAAGCTAAATGACTCCAATAAGATATCCAAATGCTGTGGTGATACATTGATGACTGCAATACCAGTTGCTGCTTTCTTTGTTAGCATTTGTCTCTCCTTTGTCAATATAGTCAGCTTGTCAGCTGTCAAATATCCCATGAACAGACTAAAAGCTGAAATTGCTGTCACTAAGACTCAGATTGACAAATTTCAGACTCAACAGCAGATAATTAGTCAAACCGATAAGAGCATCATCCCCAAGTTTAACAGACAAAGTTTAAGAGAAACTCTGTGCAGTAAACTTTTGATGTTTGGGATTCAGGTTGACTATGCTCATACACAGATGGTTAATATGTCTATAGCAGACATTTCTTTTCCACCTAAGTCTTAACCATTTTTGAAACTGAAATTGAACTTTCAGACTTCTCCAGCAAGCATGAAAAACAGCTATAGCTTTAGATCCAGTTAGCATTCAGACTAAAGAGTGCTTTTCTAAGTCTCATTAATATTGAAAATTAGGAGATTTTCTTTCACATTAGTCTACCAATAGTTAACTGAGAAGAGTCTAACAACTAGACGATTTTATTTGATAGCTTAATGCATGCTTAATTTTATCTCAAAGCAGTACTAGTGATTCACATAGTGATGACGAGACGCATCAGTCCTATTTGCATACACCTGCTGCTGCTGCTTCATGGTTGTCTACTCGTCGTCCCGATGCTCCATGGACAGGACCACCGTGACGAAGGGGGGACTGTAGCAATCAAGACAACCCTGGATGTGAAACCCACACATTCCTTACAGGAAAGTTTCCTTATCTGGTCCCAGGAAACAGGATATAAATCTTTCCAGACGTGTTTGCACTTTCAGGTTAAATAAGTGACCCAACAGGAGGTTGACTAAACCTCTGACTCTTCACGATTGGTCAATTCGGAGAACAGAGACAGAGTTTTATTACCTTTCAAACTGACTCCATTTGCTGACCATCTAAATAAACATTAACGTCTCAACCCAGATCTCCCATTTGAGATTTAGTGTCTTAAAGTGTGTGAACATACGGACCCTAGGAAAAGGGGGGACACTGACCTCCAGACCTCGGTCGTAAAACCCTGCTCGACCATACACTGATAAAGACTGCATTCCTTTGGTGAAAGAATACAAATGACTGATCATGACATCTTATGCATTCAGCAATTTACTAATCTGTCTAATCATAAAATTTGTGTTAAAATGAGATGTTTCCCGTTTTTCTATGTGCTTCAGAAGCAGAGTTATCTTATCTGACAGAATAAATCCTTTATTCTTTAGTTTCTTTAGACCAACAGCTTTTCAGACTGTTTCATGAACTTTTAAGAGTTAAATTTATTGACTATGAATCCTAAGTTTACTCTAAGTAACAGAAATAGTTTAGAAATGTTTGGTTTATATTGTAGTTGTTTATTTAGTATTTTTAACCATTAGGTGGTTATAATGTCATTGAATAACCTTAATGTGAGTATTTAGAATCCATTATTAATCATGATGAAGTTCATTCACATGTGTTTACGCTTTTGTTGTTTACAGTTTCCATGTGTTACTGTCTGTTTCATTTCAGAGTAATTTAGCATGTTCAATGTGATACTTAAAACATAATGAGAATGTTTGATGTGATCCTACACTTCATTCATATGTGTTTAGTGTCAAATTATTTGTCATGAAACCAAGCATTCAATGATATTAATCATAGTGAGTGAGTATCAGATCTGACTCTTTACCAGCCAAAAGAATAAGTTAGATCAAATAATCAAAGACCACACGACCCCTCCTCTGTCTCCTCACACACACGCCGGAGCCACTCCCAGTGTGAAGAAGATAAAACCAGTGAAGTCGGGTTGCTCATTTTTTTTTTCTCTTATGTCTCTTTCCTCTTATGCTTCTGCTCTTCTGCTGACTCTCTTGTCCCCGGCTCTTATGCCCCTTCTCTTCTGCCCACACCCTTCTGTGGTGCGTTTCTTTGTTTTCTCTTAGAACTTTTTCTTAGTCTTCTAAGTTTTACGCCACGTGTTGATTCACGTTGATTTTTCTTTAACATCGTCTTAGTTCAAGTTTTGAAACTTCAACTTTTTGTGCACATAGCAATTCAAGATTAAGCCTTTGATTGATTTTTCTTTAATTTCGCGAAGCCATTTTTGAAAGTTTTCTCTGCTCTTTGAGCCTCGTTTTTCTGAGTTTTCTGCGTGATTCAAAGTCACCTCTGAACGCAACCCAGCAGGCCCAGGTCATCCTCTGTGCCAGAGTTTTTAAGTGAGACCAAAGAAGTACCCAAACGAGCATCCACAGGATCCACAGGCGCTGGCTTTGCTTCGGGCCCGAGTGCTGCAACTCCTGGCTCATCCTTCGGCTGACTTCAGTCGTCTTCTGAGCTGAACCGCTCGAACCGCCAGTAGCCCGGACCTTCGGAACCTGCTCCATCTTCTCCAAGGACCAGTCTCACTTAAGTATGCAAACCTCCAGAGCTCTAAAGAGGGCTGGTGCTGTCTCCTGCGTTCATAGCTCAGATATCCACCTATTTCTGGTGATCTTAGATTCCTCCAAATCCACATCCGAGTTTATCTCGACACCAAAGTTAGTGTAGGTTAATATGTTAGCGCATATTCACTCACTATCATTAACTTTAGTGCTCCTAGCCTGACTCAGAATCTTTATTTATTCACCTATTATTATTTATCTTCGTTATCTTATCATCATTTATTGCATGTGTGTTGTACCATCATTTATCCTGTAATAAACAGATCATTATTTTTCTAAGTTCCTGTCTGTTAGTGTTCTTCCAGAAGTGGAGTCCCTGAAATTAGAATTTCGACTTAAGATATGAGACTGATTAATTAAGACTGATTAATTAAGACTGATTAATTAAAACTGACTTGATGTTTGATTTCTGAATTAAACTTTTGTTTTCTTTATTTTCCCACCATTAAGGGTGGGTGGTGCCCCTTTCAACGAGTGCATAAATGTCATAATTTGAGATTATTAATCTTCAGACATTTATTATAAATTCCAATCGCCAAGTATTATTTTGGTGCGGCCTTGTGAGGCTCATTTCAAATCGCTACATATATTTTGGTGCGACCGTATGAGGCTCACTTCAAATCACTACACAGTCTATGATGTAAACCCCGGGTAAAGAGGCTATCGTCCTGAGGTTAGCGGCCGTGTAGTTTTGTTTTAGGCCATGAGAGCAAATTCTTTGAATAGATAAACATAAATACAACATATGCACAAAAATGCGTAGATAAAAGCAAATCTATCTGCAGCCTAAGATGTGCTGAATATCTTTAAATCTGCAGAAATCTTCGTATAAAGTACTTGCTGTTTCTTCTTGGTGGTTACCAGGTGGTTTTCTGCGACCTGCGTGTAATAACAAAGGCTTTCTTGGCTGTTTTTATTATATAATTCTGTTAACAGCGAACAGAGTAAAGTTTAGTGGAAACAAACATTAAAAAAGTAATGAATAAAAGATTAATGAGAGTCAAGATTGGCGGTCTCCTAACCTCCTTTTGATGAATATTCATGTCATGATTCATAATTTTCTCCAGCGTTGAACTCCTGGAGTAAAAGAGATTGAGGGTTTTGTTTTTTACTCGTGGAGCAGTTTATCTAATGATGGTGTTTTCAGGAGGAAATGTTCTTTTTCCTCTTCGGATTCCCAGGGACCCGTGATTTCCCAGAGGATGAGAGTCCTCGAAGGACTCTGCTGCTATTTTGGAGAGAGGATTGGGGAATGCATTTATCAGTTTAATTTTCATAAAGAGGTAAATAAATGCTTAAGTGGCTTTTTATGAGCTGCTTCTCTGCTTTAGAGGCACTTATCGTATTCATTCCTTCTATTTTTACATTTCTCATCAAAGTCAGTGTGATTTTTACGAGACAGTGGAGAGTTTATCTTTTCCTTTATTACCCAAAACCATCACCGCTGCTCTTTAGAGCTTCGTATTCAGATGATGTGAAAGTTTCTCAACTTTCCGAAGCTCTCGTATCAAAGTTCATCAAGTTCACAACAAACCCGCACAGGAAGAAATACAGAAGTGATGGAAACCGACGGGCTCACATCCAGAGTAAACTGTGGAAATCACAAAAACCAAACAAGGAGGCAAGAAAGCAAACGGAGACGACGGATCGGTCGTTTCTTATTTAGTGAATTAAACTCCGTTTGTTTAAAGCTTCAAGTTTATGTGTGACGGAAAAACAAGGCTGACGGCCAACATCCACAAACACAACGCACAGCCACAGTTTATCCTGCTATTTCTGATTTAATGTGACAATGACTGCCAGTGGTCTCGACCTTAGAGCTGCTGAAGGTCATCAAGTGTTGTTATTGTTGTTTAAACCTTCAGTTGTTCGGTTTCTTCTCAGCTAAAGAGGCTGGAAGAACGAAGACTGAAGACTAAAGACGCTTCTATAAAAGGACCATCAGGAGGACAAAGATAAACGTTCGATTAGAGCAACCAAGCTAACACTTTACCTCAAATGTTGCTAGCTTGTTAGCTTTAATGTGGGGTTGGCAGGAATCCGTTAAAGAAGCGTCTTTTTTTGTGGTGTATAAACAAAAAAACTGTTAATATCAGTCAACAGTTATTAGTTATTGATGACATTTGGTAATATATCGATATCTCTGTGTTCTCTTATGTCTGTGTCGTCAACATTTCAACATTTTTGAGTGGTCCGCTCTTTCTGACTGTAAACAAAGCCATTCTCCGCCTCCCAAATCTGATTGGTTGTGAGGCAGACGCTGCTCCCCCGTGTCGTTCAGGAGCCCAAACAAAGTTAGCGTGCTACAATATCGGACAGTAGAAACCAACCAGAAAGTTCAGAAAATTGTCTGAATCCTCCTTTGGCCACGACTGCCGACACAAGCAAGAAAACAAAGTAAATACCGGAGAATAATAGGAGCCTAAAAAGGAGGTAGACCACCTGGACAAGACCCGGGGACGCTTGGGGATCTTGGTGACCCTGTAACCTTTCTGCTGGACAGGTAAACCACTTTAACAAAGTAAGACAAGTGTCTGTAACAGAAGTGTTTCTTGTCAAACGGACCTGCTGTAGCGTGTTGTAGCGCAATCGCTAAACTGTCCTCCCTCGGGTCCTGGACTATGTCACTTTATCCTCGTTGTAGAAGTCCTGCAAACATTGTGTTTGCTGGTAGTCTGTTGGCATCTACAGTAGCACCAATGCTTTTGACTTTCACCTTGACTGGGCAGGAGCGAGCAGGAGCGTCTGTTTGTGGGCGGGGCTTGAAGGGGAGAGGAGGAGCTGAGGGGAAAACTGGTTGGGAGGGGTAGAGTTTACATTCAAGATTTCTCCCAAAAACTGGAACTTCGTCAGATCCTGACTACCCCACCTTTAAGCATCTTTTTTCAAAAGTAGATGCTGTTAAACTGTCCTGGAAACTTTGTCCCAAGTGGTAAAACAAACTTCCTCTTCACAGCAGAACCAGACTCGGTTAGCAGCCGTCTGCTTGACCTGGAATCAGTTCCTAAATTGGGGTAAAACTTGCTAACTGTGAAGCACTGAGGCTGTTAAGCTAGCACCCTGTTAACAAAGAAACTGTGGGAAACTTTGTTGAAACAGCGACACTTTAATTGTGTTTCATTTGTTGCCACTTTCATAATGTTTTGCAGATGTGCAGTTTGCTCTTGTTTTGTATCTGATTTTGAAATGGACTGTTAGCATCTTTTGTTGCTTTCCCACGATTTTAGGGGGAAACTAAAGTGATCCAAGAGTATATCGCCCCAATGGTGTTCAAGTGTGAATACGCAACTGCTCTGCAACCTCATGCAGTTTGCTCTTGTGTTGTGTCTGACCTTAATCTTGCCTTTTAGCGGTACTTGAAGCCGGGAAGATGGCTCAAAAAGCCCAGATCTGCAGGTGCATGTCCTTCTCCTGGAAAATGAGGCCTGAATTATCCTAAACTTGCCTCCAAGTCACACAGATCAGAAACTTACCCGTCTCACAGGGTGACTTTCTCTCCATATACATTCATTTGTTCCAGCGTCTCATTGTGGCGATAATACACCTTGAGAGAGAGTTTCAAACCCAGCACGTTTCACCATTACATCAAAAGGTCTTGCTGAGATTTCCCTGCAGATCAGCGTGTCTGGTGTTTTATCTTTTGGAAAACTCCTGATGAGAATTTAAATCAAACTTCCGTCAGATCGAGCTCAGCTTGGCGTCTGAAAGTGCCTTTGTAAAGATGGAAATGATGTGGGAAAGGAAACGCAAGAGAAAAGAAAGAGAAGTAACAAAGCCCCAAATAAAGTGGATTACTTTTGGTTTCTGTATCGAGCAAAACTTTTCTGTTTCTCAACGATTTTTTTTTATTTCTTTAAGGTCATTTTTCACAAGAACTTTTTATCACCGCTTTGACCTTTATGCATTTTTATAGTGCTGATGATAGACTCAACTGCCCTCATTCAGAAGGTCATCATCTAAAAGCTCTAAATGTAGGAGGTGATGTGGATTCATCGAGGCCACAAAGTGACATTTACCAGGTAACGTGAAAGCAGGATTTGCTTCAAGATCGGCCGCTTAAAACCACTTCAGAGACAAAGACGGGCTGAGAAAGATAAGGAGATAACATTTCTAAAGGGCTGCTGGGACTCTTTAATGACGGATCAAGACGTCAGGTCTGACCAGAATAAAGACATTACCCCATGTTACCCGGGGTTCAAACGGAGGATGATGAACAAAATTTACCGAACGTTTATATACACGGTGAAACTGAACCAAAGTTAGACTGGATCAGGCGATTTAAGTGGAAAAGTGTCTTTGTTTCAGTTTAGAAGGGTTAGAAATGATTTATGACTGAGTACGTCACATACCGGAACAATCAAAAAATGCTTTAGTGTTTGTGGAAAATGGTGGAAACGTGGACTTTATTCGATGCATTTATGCTGGAACACCTCCGAGTGAACTGGAGTATTTGCACAACACCTCGGCTAATTCAGGACTGACTTCAGTGTGTACATGATCCACGATGGAAGCTTTGTCCTTAACTACAAAGTTGTGTCTTATCCATCATGAATCCACTCCATAATTAGGTGATAAGATGTGTCCACTCCCCGTCCAGCTCATTATCTGTAGAGATGCTTACCCGGGATTTCCACCACATCCGGAACGGCTCCGATCCAGAATGTCCATGTAGATTCTCAGTCATCCAGGTCATGGTTTTCTTGAAGACTCCAAAATCAGGTAACTGGACTGTGTAGAGTTGAGAGACTCTACGCACTCAACTCTACACAGTCCAGTTACCTGATTTTGGAGTCTTCAAGAGATCCAGAATGGCGTCAATTTTCGCTGTCCACCAATTCCTACCAGATCCGTTTGTGAGGCAAATTTTGTGACGGATTGCGGACAGCAGGAATTGCGAGAACTCACAAGAACCCACAGATTCACGTACAATCACGCGATAACAAGTTGTCTTTAGCCACATAGGCTAACCATATAAGCAGTAGATTGTGTCCTTCCAGAGGAGGAAATCTACTTCTAGACTTCTAGAATCAGCATCTCCTCATCCATGGTGTCATCGGGGTGAATGGACGTCTATAAACATTTCACTTGTTCGTCTTCGCCCGTTTATCTGGTGTGAAATACGACCCGCCTGAAAAGCCAGATTTGTGTCTGTGCGAAAAGATCCAAAAATAGAACTCTGGCGATCCGCAGCGGAACGGAAAGAATCCGTTGGAAATTGACACATTAATGCGAATGGTTACGATCCGCTGTGATCGGCGGTTACGGCCTTTTCGTGGTGGAAATTGGGGGTTACAGCGCATTTCCCTTAACAGACGCAAACAGGAGCAAACTGCACATAGTAGGAAAGCTCTGTTTGTTGGACCTTGAGTTGGAGCATTTAGCAGGGCCTTTTATAATTACCGTAAAATCCGGAATATAAGGACAGTAAATTACTGTAAATATAAGACACAGTTTGTTTATGGAGGCGCCTTGTAAGTGTGTCCTTGTCCTTGTCCTTGCAAATGATCGGACAGGTACTTGTCGACCTTTTTCCACGGACTGACATCTAACCTGACTTACTGTCTGAACCGCACCGACGGAGTTAACACCGCCCATCTGGCACTGCAGGCAGATCAAAACAAACACCAAATATGGCTTGACCCCGGAGAGCGAGAGAGAGGAAAGTAACGCCAACCTTTAGCAGGAAGACTAACGGTCATGGGCTGGATCATCTCAGCTGTCATTTACAGCTCAGGGTCCAGAGCGTTTCAAAGTATTAACTGGATTAGAACAAGTCCACAGGTTATCTGCAGAGAGGACTCAGTCGGTCCGGCTCATTCATGCGTCCAGCAGGGACTCCCGCCCGGCAGCGTGTAACAGAGCGTATTCTCCATCGCATGTCTTCGTATAAACAAGTGCTGAGTCATGGAGCCGCCTGAAGCTGTGGGGTGTCAGCAGCTTCAACATCAGGGACTAAATCCTGCACGGTTAAGACCCGGTGAATCACATCAGTCTGCTTTCATTCAAGCTTTCTCCTCTTCTGTATCAGTTTGGGAAACACGTCGCTGGTAGTAGAGCGGGGGGGAACATGTGCGACACTGCAGGTCTTTACCTTCAACACCGAGTCAATAATCATCTTTTATGAGCCGTATTTTCAACCTGCAGAAACAGACATTTGTCGTCGATTTGCATGTGCAAACACCCGCCACTTAAAACACACATAAGTGAATTTTCACCCAGTGAGGCACAATTACAGTTTGCATAAAGCTGCAGTGTTTATAGGTTTATTATCACGCCATATCAACATTTTAGTACTCAGACTCATAAACGACTGATAATTACATACATACACATACATGCCTTGGCCACTTCTGTGAATCCCCAGTGTTCGGTAGTAACGCCGATACCTTATTCAGTAACTAATACTGTAACACGTTGTTTTTCAATTCAATAACTCTGTTTCTGTTCCTTATGGTCAGGTTTTATATGGCAAACAGTTCCCATAACATTTTAGCGATCAATAAAGTTTAATTGGATTAGAAAAACAAAGCACTTGTCCCTCTGGTGTCACGCATGTAATCAAACCTGCGCCATGCCTCCGTGGAGATACTCACATTATTTTCGACCCAACAGCAAAGGGAAAAACGACATTTCGGTAACATGTAAACTGTGTCCTGGATCAAAAATCCAGCGACCGACAGCAACAGCAATCTACCGAAGCACCTAGAGAAGCGGCGTGCTTCAACAAAGTTAGCAGCTAAGGTAGCTAACCGCGACCGAGAGTCACAGCAGCGAGCACACACCCACTTCACTCAAGTAGCAGCAGTTAGAGTTCAAAAGACGGACACATAGACAGGCACAACTTGATAAAACAACAGCAGGGTATGTTAAATTGTTTATTTGGATCATTTTTTAGCGATATCAGGCTTTTTTTCCAAGAGTCCGATGGAAAAACTTTGTTGTTAGTGTCGAGGTTTGTGTTGGTGCACAACGGATCGTATCACTCGGATGATTAGATTCAGTGATGTGGATGAATGTAAACGGTTGTTTTAACCAACAGTTTGTTTTATTCAGCATCAGTACAGAACTGAAAAGACTCTAGAGGGGAACTCAGTCAATCTTTATTTATCAAGAGCATCAGAGGAACGTTTTACAGTAACTAAATAATTACTTCCTCAGAAACGAATTACCTCTTTGGTTTCAGTAGCTGAGTTACAAACTTAGTTACTTTATTTACAAAGTAAATAGTAACTGTAACTACTAGACACGCCCCTGCCCCCTGCTGTCACTTCTTCTACATAGATTTAACCACCGTTCTCAAAAGGTTTTGACCAATCACAAGCAAGTATTTAACCCAGACGAGTAATAACAGAACTCAAGAGAAGAGGAAGGATGAATCTATTTAATCTGATTCTATATTTTAAAGAGCTGAACCAGGATGAATGTTTGGGGAATCTACTCTAGAGTTGACAGTAAGTCCCGTGTTGGAGGAACTATTTAGACTTTAAGAGTGACTCTGTATTTTAATGATGACAAATGTGGTTTTTGAGCAGCTGTTTTGTGTTGTTTCTGGTGGTATATTTGGAGCAGACGAGTTTTATCTGCAGAAAGTCTAAACCGCTCTCACGTCTGTTCCTGCAAACGTCTTTAACTCGACTATCTCTCTCATCCTGAGCGTTCGGTTGAGTTTACATTTTGTGCAGCGGGGCCTCTTCTTGTTTTCTTTATGGCAACCTTGAAGCTGATGGATCACTGTGTGTGTGTGTGTGTGTGTGTGTGTGTGTGTGTGTGTGTGTGTGTGTGTGTATGTGTGTGAGCAGGGGCTGTAGGCCGGTCAGAGGTCACATTTTTCTCAGACACACTGTCCGCATCACACATTAATAAACATTGTGTGTTTATCCGTGATGTGCTCTTGTGTGCATGTGTGTGTGTGTGTGTGTGTGTGTGTGTGTGTGTGTGTGTGTGTGTGTGTGTGTGTGGGTACATGCGTCAGCAGTGCTTTTGTGGCCTTCTGCAGAATCACAGACTGTCACACTGAGGACTGGAAATGGCTCTCACTGTTTAGTTTCAATCATTCCCTTAGTAACCTCGGTAACACACACACACACACACACACACACACACACACATTTGTACCTTTATGCAACTGAGGAAGACAGTGTGTTAGACGTGAACCTGGGCGAGGTGCCATAAATGTTTCTTATGTTTCTTATTATGGCCACTAGGGGGAGACTCCACTCGTTCCAAAGAGAAACTCAGAATAAAAGAAAATGAGACTGATAGAGTATTTGGTCGAAATCTGCAGATTTAAAGGGACATTCCGGCGTAAAATTAATTTAGGGTCAAACACACCGTAACACTTTGTTAATTTTTCACTGGAATATCCCTTTAAGCTTCCTTCTGGTTGGCTAATTACTCTGAAGAGACCTAAACCAGCTACACTTGAGTTAAACTCTAGCCCGGTGTGTCGATAGTTCCCAGATTAGGACAGATTTTGTACCCCACATACATTTACGATGACGAAGATGATGACTCTGAGCTTTACTCGCTTTTGTTTTCCATCGTGAACATTAGTTTATTTAACTCAGTAAGAAGGTTTAGTAAAATTCATACGTGCTGCAGTTGGCAGTTTCACCACTAGGTGTCACTGTTGCTGGTTTACACTAGTTGATGGTTTTACCAACTGTTGATAGTCTACGCTTGATGTCATTATTGTTAGTTTACTCTGATTGGCGGTTTCACCAGTCGACCTCAATGTCGTTATGTACGCTAGTTTCATTAGTTAATTTTTGTTTACGATGTTTTTAGTTTAAGCTAGCTCGTAGTTTCATAACCCGATGCCACTGTTGCTTCGTTACACTGGTTGGCAGTTTTGTCACCTTAGTTTTGTTGTTTATGCTAGTCTTGTTCTTAACTTGTTGTTTGAAGTATTGTTTACGTTAATTGACGTTTTTGTGACCAGATTTTACTGTTCTTAGTTTATGTTAACTGTAGAAAAAAATGCGTTCATCCAATCACAATACTTTGTCATATTTTGCCTTTTTGTTGCCATTAGCTGGTTAATATCAGCTTCCTGAAGTTATTTACAGACGTTGGGATATTTTTAAAGTTAAAATGTCATTTCTACGATGATACTTTAGTGAGCTAAAAAAAACAAACGTGCCCGAAATGTTTTGTTTAGGCGACTTTTGTGGGTGTTACTTTTTACCCAGCGATTTATATGAGAGTTAAAATGAACTGCAAATCAGAAAAGTGCTAGCATTTGTTAACTTTTAGTAATATTTCTCCTTTTTGCACCAAAAAACTGAACGCCGTAATCTTGACTTTGATGGTTAAATCAGAGTTTTTATGTCCATTTTTGTTTACGTCACGCTTAAATCATCAAAAAAAATAACATTTGACTTTGTTGGCAACATATCAGCTTGTTAAGATGTCTTTTCCCTGCTAAGAGAAGATGAATTTGTTCAACCCAGACTATGTACAACATGACATTTATCTTGGATTACCTGAGAGCAGCGCTGCCTTTGTGTGATTGGTAAAGGTGGAGAGCTGAGGACAGCGGGATGACATTTACTCGAGGTGAATGTTTGCTACTACGTGGTCAGCATCTAGGTCACCCATTAAACCTCACAAAAACACGCTTTTACAAACAGCGTATTCAGAGGGACATCATTTGTTCGGAGATTCTTCTCGTCTGAGGTCGCTGAGTGCATCGATCAGACAGACTGTCAGTACAATGGAAAATCCTTCCTCGAAGATCTGTACACTCACTGTTGAAATATTCAGGACAAATGTGGTCACTGTTTTTTTTTTCCTTTTTCATCCTGAGACGACTGCTCCCACTCTCCTCTGATCTCACCTACGGGCAGAATCCTGAAAAAGGTGAAACACCAAAGAGTCAGACCGTGTTTCTAGGATTTTATTGAAAGCAAAACCAAGTAACAGATTCTTACTAAAAAGAAAAGAGTTCCACTGTACACAACGTGGTCAGAATGTAAACTAATTTATTGGTTAAAAGAACAACGGGTATTTTATGAAAACTTTTTAGTATCTGCATGTCCATTTTGTGGACAAAGTAGGCTAGATGGAGCTTCAAATATGGAAATTGGAACTACAAAAAGAATTTAAATGCACCAACATTGTTTTTTCTTCTCATCATTGACATGGCTCAGATTCTTTTTATTCAAGAAAAATTTCATTGAGGTCATTTGATATGAAAAATATAAAATTTTGTGTTTTTTACCAATACATTTTTTAATTATCATTTTTTTAGTGGTCAGGGCTGAAGTGGTTTAAGAGATATGAGTTTAAAAAAGTTAAAAAAAAAAAGCTAAAAAATAATTATGTTATAAACACTTATCTGCATGTCGGTTTTGTGGACAAAGTAGGCTAGATGGAGCCTAAAATATGAAAAATTGGCATGACAAAAAGAATTTAAATGCAGAAAATTTGTTTTTTCTTCTCATCATTGACATGGCCCAGACTCTTTTTATTTAAAAAAAAAATTCATTTAGGTCATTTCATATAGGAAATACGGCAATTCTTGTGTTTTTTTACTGATATGGCCCAGTCTTTTTTTATTTTCAAAAAATTAAATTGAGGTCATTTTATTTGAGAAATATAAAATTTGGTGTTTTTTGTCATTAAAGATAGCAGTGACATGGTGCACAAAAACTATCATAAAAGGGGTAATACAGCAAATTTTTTGATTATTATTATTTGAATGGTCAGTGCTGAAGTTGCTTAAGAGATATGAGTCAAAAAGAAGTCTAAAAAAAAGTTAAAAAATGATTATTTTATCAATACTAATCTGCATGTCCATTTTGGAGACAAAGTATGCTGAATGGAGCTTAAAATGAACAGGAACTGAGGGTTAACCACCACATAGATAAGCAGAAATGAAATCAGACGTTAAGACCACGTAGACTTCATCTTTACTTCAAATAAAAAGACACAAGAGGAACTTAAACTGGCCAGCTTGACAGAAAAAGTTTCACTTTTATTAGTTAATATCTGCCTCATGAATTCACTAAAAAAAGCACAGCAGCTTCTGATGGATAAACCATGTTGACTGGAGACTCTTAACGAGTTAATTAAAGCCTCGTTTAGTTCAAATGTCGCTCACCTGGGGTCTGTCTGAACCATGTTTTCTCTGTGTTTTTCTCTAAGCCATGACAATAACCCGTTTAAAAGCCCACTTTGAGCCTGCGCCCGCCTGAATCCCACTTAACCTCGGTAATGCCCATGTTGGACGTCTTGGCTTCTTAATCCGTTAATCCTGTAAGAAGAAAAACATCAAACCTTTTATTTTCCTTCTTGGAAATTAACTTTCTGTTTTATAATGTTTGTGGTTGTGGCTGCCTGAGAAACAGATTTTTTTTTATCGGGCTACCTTGGGGATGGATGTTGGCCAAAGAGCAGCCTAGTATTAAATTAGAGTAGCTGGGCTCTGTAAGTGCGAGGTCAAGGAGCTGAAAACCACGTTTTAAAGACCACTGCTGACGAGCTGTTAATTCAGAATGAGCCGATAATTACTCAGACATATGGATATGTTGCATTGCTTGTCTTTGTGTTTGGCTAAGATAAAGACGAAGCTTCATGTTCTCGGTTTTAACTCCGACCTGTTTGCTCTCGAAGACTGAACTTCCTCTGCACATGGATCAGGTACATATTTGCCCGTGAAGGTCGTGTTTGTTCAAGGAGTTCACCTGCTCCTCTTCTTATCTTCTCATTCTTCTATACGAGTCAATACGGGTGTGAAAGCCGCTCACATGAACAAAGAGGTACAGGTTTGCTCTAATCATTTAAACTAACTGATCCATGGTCTGAAAAAAAGGCGTGAACACACACAGAGAGAGAAAATCTCTGAAGAAGAACGAGTTTTAAAGCAAACAGAACTTGAAGAGAGAGTTTCACTTCTTCACACTTTGTCTTTGTTGATATACACCCCGCTGAAACATGGATGGATAAATAAAGAGCAGAATGACAGGGTGAAGGGGTGATGATGAACGGTTAGCAGATAAAAGATGGTCTGATGTTTGGCTGAATGGATGGATAGACGACAAATTATTGAACCAATTATTGAATGATATAAAAAGATAGATGGATACATGGATGGATGGATGTAAAGAGGACAAATGTATGGAAACATAGATGATGGATGGATGGATGGATGGATGATGGACTGATATATGGATAAATGGATAGAAGGTTGTTTAGATGACCAGACAGAGAGACAGACAGACATTAGGTAGATGGATGGATAGATGGATAGATGGGTTAGTAGATAAATAGATGGATGGATGGATGGATGCTCAGTTGGATGAATAGATGGAGTGAGAGATGGATGAAAAGATAGTTGATGAGATGACCAGAAAGAAATTAGTTGATAGATGGATGGATTGATAGATAAATGGATGGATGGATGGATTGATAAATGGATAGATGCTTGGATGAATGGATGGATGAACGGATGGATAGATGGATTAGTAGATAAATAAATTGATGGATGGATGCTTAGTTGGAAAAATAGATGGAGTGAGAGAAGGATGGAAAGATGGTTGATGAGATGACTGAACAGAAATTAGGTAGACGGATGGATGGAGGGCTAGATAGATAGATAGATAGATAGATAGATAAATGGATAATAAATGAATGGATGGATGGATGGATGGATGGATGGATTGATAAATGGATAGATGCATGGATGAATGGATGGATGAATTAAAAGATAATTGGATGGATGGATGGATTAATAGATAAATGGATTGATGGATGGATGGATGGATGGATGGATGGATGGTATTTCTTCTAAATTTTATTAAGATCCGGCTCTGTGGTTCCGGTTTGGGTTCAGGTTAGGGTTCGCGTCAGGTTGAGGTGCCAGAACAAAAACTCTTTACCTGAACTCTCATCACGATTTCACAGACTCTCACAGACTGAAGAGGTGAAGATGAGACCACCCCCCACACATACCCTTCCCCTCCCTGTCTAGCTGTCACATCCATCAGCGGAGAGCTGAAAGTTCAGCAGCGGGTCGATTTGTGGTATTCATGCGAGTCACAAAGAACTCAAAAGTCAATATGTCACTCTGCATATTTCTGAGGACGTATTGAAGACTCCTGTCCTCTGAAGGCCCTCACAGCTCTCCTCCCTGTTAAATCATTAAAACCTCACTCTATGATCGGAGAGACGTGCACAAAGTGTGAGGAAGAGCTGCCTTCTCTGGTATTATAAACATGTAGAGGACTCCATAAAGACGCCTGGTACTGGAGCAGTGTGAAGTCAACACTAATATAATGTTAATGGCACATTTTGATTACTAACATCATCAGTGATTTTCGAGGCCATTAAAGCTTCGCCGTGTTTCCTGTTACCGCGCTCACTTCAGCCTGTCTCCAGCTCCATTTAATCCAATTCCAACGACAGGCTGCGACAGCTATTAGACCTCATTACGTTTGCGTCACATCCCAGCGGACCGGCTGAGCGAGTCTGAACGTGCCCCTCCTCGGGGGCTTCTCACTGGGATACATGTTGAGGATTAGGCCCTGTGGGTCCTGGAGCTCCCAGTACAACCATTATGAGGAGTGATCCATTTAGAGATGGGATTGGAAAATTCTAAGGGTGTCAAGAAACCACTTTTTTACTTCTGATACAATACCGACAGGGCTCGACAGTGCGACCATTTCACTCTCATTTGCGACTAAAAATAGATGTGTGGGAATTGTAAAATGTATTTAGCGGCACATGTGCGCATAAAAACATCGGCTGAGGTGAAGTTAGTTTTAGGTTGGATATCCGACGGACATTCACTGCGGATCTAGCATTGTCTTCGCACTCTCCGTAACCGAGAATAGCAACAGCAGCGCGATTAAATCTACTCTGCACCCTCGCTGTCAACATCGGATGTTGAATAAGGGACCGTCAATAAATTACCGGTTGATGTTCTCAGAAAAGGCTGTTTTCCTTCAATAGCTTCCATGTCATGTGACCAAAAGACCTAAAATTGATTTAAAATAATAGGAAAGTCGACCAATAAGACGAACATTATTTGATAAATTTTGTCCCTAAAGTTCTTTGTGTGCTCCTTGTGAAAAAAGTTAGTGTCAAGCCCTGACCGATATCGTAGCCTTCAGTATCGGCCGATACAGATATTGATCCGACATTAGCGCAAACTTGTGCATGACAAGTTTTGCACTCAGCTGCAATCTCTTTTTTGGATTTTAACGAAAAATACTGCCACACGGCCAACATCACTCCTACTCCTTGCTACTTTGTTAGTACCTGGATTTGGGTGCTGCTAGATAGAATTCCTGGAGCGGAGTCTGGAATGGACCACTTGTATCAGAGTGCTGATATCAGGGATTTTAGATGCAGGCCGACATAATCCAGTATTCTTTTTTTTCATATATCAGACCAATATGTCAGGACATCCCTATAAAATACCAAAAATATATCCCTCTTTCTAAAATTGAGCATGGTGCTAGTCCAGGCAGGCCACCTTCCCCTCCTTTACACGCTGCGTCTGATTTTACTAATATTAGCTGTATTGCTCAGGAGTCTTTGCTGCTGCTCTCCCCGCCTCAGGCTTCGCATTCCCACCAGTGTTGCCAACTCCTCAGTAAGGAAAGTCGCTAGTGGCTGTCGTAAATGTCGCTAGATGACGTCATCGCCCAATTTGCATAATTTCTCAGTCAAACCCTTCCGCGGGGTGTCTATATGTGTCTGTGTGACATCGATACCTGCGTTCATGTTAGAGTCTCTACACTCCAGCAGAAGTCGCTAGATTTGTCGCTAGGCGCTTTTTTGGAAAAAAGTCACTAGGGGGTCTGAAAAGTTGCGAAATCTAGCGACAAAGTTGCTAGGTTGGCAACACTGATTTCCACAAACTCACGTGGAAATGCTGGGAAAATACAATGTAAACACATTTATTGTTACAAGGTCTAAATAATCTCCAAATCGGCTCGATTAAAAAACTGATAATTTCAAGATAAATCCAGATGCATTGTTATTAATCCTGTAACACAGTCATGCATTTTGTTGTGATTGTGCTTCTCTTTCCATGTTGACAATGATAACAGAAAACTTCCTCCTTTACTTTGAAAACCGTCTCTTCAAGGTGAAAAACCTCCCAAGGGTGACGAACTGACATGACCCAGTTACATCAATCGCCGGTGACAGGCAAATGCCCTTATCTCGGAGAATTGTGGGTACCTCGCCGAAGCTTTGATAGCACCTGTTCTTTCACTTAACACAACCTGAGAGTTTGACCTGGATGTGTCAGGCAGTAAAAAAATCATCTCAACTTTTTACCCGGTGAAACAAGGCCGGAGGCTTCGCTCGGTTTCACCTCGCATCACGGTGGAGAGACAAAGTCGTGAGCAGAGAGAGAGAGAGAGGATGTCAGAAACTTCAGAGACAGAAAACTTACTTTGTTAATAATTCAGACTTATTAAGTGGCTCTTTGTCGGTGCAGGCCCCTGTTTGTGTTCAGCTTTTTAAATCCACATTAAACTCATTATTTTAACCCTTCAGGCACTTTTTTAAAACATTAAAAAGTCACTTTAAACATCAGGCGAAAACTTATTACCAGGTTTACCTAAATTGCATACACAGAGGAATCATTGAGCTAAGTTTAAAAATCTGCTTATCAAAAATTTAGCTGTTTACATCACGTCTAAAGTGTCTTTTATGAAAAGTTCTTTATTCTGTTTCAAAAATGTTCCATAGTTAGTCTCTGTGGAGGATCTGCAGCCTCTCAGTTTCTAACCAAAGAGTGATCCAATCAGGGATAACAAGTGGCTGTAGAGGCGGAAAAACACCAACAAGGAAAAAAAAAATGGCGAGTGCTCCAGAAGAATTCAGACTGTCAATGTTCTTATGTAAACTCATTAGATTTCCTTTTTTCGGGGCCAAATCCGACCCACAAGCAGCCTCTAACGGCTACAATTCAAACGTGTATAAACTGAAAATATAGAAAAAGACGCTAGCTCGTAAAAATGTCGTTAAAAAAGTTCAGAGGCGTCACTTCAAAAAACGCTCAACTTTCTGAACTCACAAGACAACACATGCTCTCCAGTAACTGGGATCTTTTGGCCTGGATTACCTTCTTTGATTAAAGACCTCTACCTGATTTGTTGCATGAACATATGATCATAAATGTTCTTCCTTGAGCTGCGGCACCCCGTTGTAGTGCGTAACGGACTGGCCTGAGGTCTCGCTACAAACAAGCGGCTGCTGGAAGAGAGTAGGTGAGTTGTGTTTAGTCTCTTTTGAAGTTAGGTGCTGTTCTGAGCATTATTTGTGGCTATAGAGCGGCGTTCTGGTTGAGGTTTGTTTATGGCTCCTCAGACCGCTGTGTATTGCTATCGTGCGGTCATCACTAAAGTTGGTAAAACTAGAGAAGCAAGCGGTCGGCAACATTCATCTCTGGAGGGGGGGTCTAACTCGGTGATACAGTGTGTTTGACCCTAAATTGATTTTGCGCCGGAATATCCCTTCTAAAAGACCGTCAACAATCAGAGAAACTGTTAGCATGCTCATTTAAATCTCCGTCATGTGTCTGTATTGTTATTTCTTCTGTATAAAATGATCTTCTTCTATCACTTCCTGCTGATTCTGAACTTTCTCTCTTACTCAGACAGTTGTGTATTCGTGGTGAGTCACTCTCCATCCAGACAAACTTTGCAGACATGGAGGTCATGTGCGCGTCTGAGGAGGACAGAGTTTTTCAGAGTGAAAATGCCACCTCATCCACAGAGAGTGAGCGACGTGATCCGTTTTCACTTCTCTGTTTTGTTTTCGTCTGCAGGCGGTTTCCTCCGCGGCCAACAAAAGCTGTGGGAGCGATTTCTGTATTCACAAATAAACGCCTCGGTAGAAAGCGTCTCAAAGCGCCTCGCTGGCTTTCATCTCTGCTGAGTGCGTCCTCTGACTCGTAAGCAGCAGCTGAGCACACAGCGGCTCTCTGTGGTCGCCGATCAATAACCATTTCAAGCCCCCGAGTTTTCTCAAGCCCTGCCGATTTTCATGATTGATCCTCTAAACACCAATGAGTGTGTGTGTGTGTGTGTGTGTGTGTGTGTGTGTGTGTGTGATTAGTGCCTTAGCAGTGGGGCGGTCTGTGTGTCCTTTGTGTCATTAGAGCGTTGGATAGAACAGAGTGATGACTTTGTTTAGAGAAACACCAGGACACCAGATCCCCAATATGAAAGCTGCAGTAGGAGTTTAAGTCCTCCACATCTGAGTTTTCATACCACACGGGTGCGTCAGCAGACAGGGTCAGTTGCGGTACGTTTGCTTGCTTGAGCCAAACCCTGCAAAGATCGGAAATGCCGACAGCAGATGTTGTAGGATCACAGAAACTGCTTTAAAGAGCTCAGCGAAGTTTTATTACGGCGCAAACTTCAACATGGTGCATGGAAATCAACCTGCATTTGTCATGTGGCGTGCTGATTTCGGATCCTGAATACTGCGTTTTGGCTGTAGCTGTTAATCAAATCTGCACTTTAGCTTTGGTACGATGTATGATCCCGATTTCAGGTCTATATGTATCTTTAAAAATCTGTTTGATTAACTCGTTAATAGGCATGTGCCAATATGAAAAATTTGATATCACGATATTGGTGGCCCAAGATATCACGATATTATCACGATATTATCATGATATTAGCACATTGCTTTTAACGTTATTAAAAATGGCAAAAAACTGCGAAACCACTTCTCTGTGCACAGCATGACACGCACAAACAATATGAGCAAGAGGCAGCTAACGCGACATTGGGAGCATTAGCCTTTTGGAGCTAAAGTTAGCAGAAACGTCACTAATGCTGTCAATAATAAGCAGGAAAGTAGACCAAACTTGTTGCGGTCACGTTGTTTTTACCTTGATTTGATGCTGGGTGGTGTTCACAGAGGTGGGCACGTAGGTTTGAAGTGTTAGACAACAGCGCTGCAACTTCCTTACAGCATAACCTGCAGATTGGTGTCAGGTTTACCTGCTCCGTCTGTTTTGTGAAGCTGTAAAACGTCCATACTGCAGACGAAACCTTTTTAATAGGAGGATACAGCCGGGGCGTTTCATCATTCTCAGTCTCTGACTGTTCTTGGTCTGGTGTTATGCTGTAGAATGCACCCCTGCCATAGAATGCACCACTGACGGGAGCGCGGTTGAAAGTACATAATAAGGCGAAATAATCCAAGTTTTTCTCACCGTTGGGTGGATTTTAAAGCGTGTGCCTTCAACGATTTCATTCAGACTATTCAGATTAGCCGAAAACAATCGCCCTCTGATGCAGAATATTTGTTGTCCTGAAAATATAATGTTCTCTACATTGACAGCTTACTGTACAGTTTATGTACCCAAGTACGTCTCTATATGTGCATTTTCGAGACACATGAAAACAGAACAAACGTTTGCCGCTCCACTTGACATTTTGTCATGATCCAATACTCGTGTTTTTAAAATATCAGATCATATCTCCTCCACTTTGAAGCTAATTAGCAGATGGGATGCATTGTGGACACGCTCCAACAGTGCTTTGGGTGGCTGCAATGCATTGTGGGTGGCCACGCATTTTGTTGTAAAATTTCTTCATTCTCTCTTTTTATTTTCCTGTTTTTGTCAGGCTGACATTAATGTACTTAATTCGAGAGTTTGTTTTGGATTTGGGACTACTGTGTGGTGGTTTGTTTTTACATTTTGCCACCGAGGCTTTGACACCGTGGGTAAGACTACAAGCGGGTTAGGTTGGTAAGTACTCGGCTTCGTTCACCTCCGCTGAGTGATGCTGCCATTCGTCTTTAGATTATAATTGTGGAACGATTTTTACAGTACCTTACGATTTCATCATCGCAGCCGTTTAATATCACATATTGCGATTAAACCGTATATCCACATCCCTTAATCTAGCACCGATTTACGCGGATCACAAGATTTGATCGTCGAGTCGACCGAACTCGCATTGTGATCTGCTGACTTTGGGACTGGAAACAGGAGGTTTCCGCAGTCAGTAACTTTACAGGCTGTTTAAATAAACAGACGTTTACTTTTAATCTGTCTGAAACTCGACTCAGTCTGACTGAAATTGCACCAAATCCAATTTTCCCACTTTCCTCTTCTATATATGCGCCTCAATCAGACTGAAAGGACTTCAGCGCTTTGGTTTATTCATGAACCTCGATATAAACGTCGGTGTATGTGGAATAAACCACCCGAGCGTGTCATTTTAAATCCGTCTCTTGTCCTCGCTCGATTGCGTGCATGTTTTACCTTTTTAAAAGCACGAATCAGAAACTTCTCCGGATTGGTGAAGGAGTTTTTCAGCTTCCTCTACATCCATGTTTGAGGCACGAATTTCTGAGTAGCAGCTGCTTACACGTTATTTGTCGTGTGATTCCTGAGGCACACGGGGATGAAATTAGCCTCACACAGCTGGAAGCCGGTGTAGACTTAGAGTGTTTACTGTTGGACAGAAATAGCTTCAGCCGCCGGTCCTGCTGCTAGCTTCGACTCGAGGGATTGCTGCTGCTGCTGATTGTACACTTTGTGCTGCTGCTACTGTATCCTGAAATCCAGGAGCAGCTCAAAGTTTTCCTGCTGGAATAAAAGAGTCGGGGGGTCGATGGAAACACTGACAGAAAATACTTTTGCATCATCTTTGGCTCTGATGGCGTAAGACTCGCCAAGTTTGCGAGCGCTGTGTTTTAAAATAGCTCCGTGCTGCAGGAAGTTCATTCCAGCGAAGAGCGAGAATCCCGCCTCCTCGAACCTTCATCCCAGACTTCAATCTGTCATCTCGGCGACTTCAAAATCTCAAATCTGTAAGCCACCGTCTCCCAGCATGCTCTGCTCCTTCCTGCATCTTTAGAGCGGCAGAGCAGGAGGGTTTTTTTTTATTATTTGTGTCTGTGTGTGTGTGTGTGATTGGGCCAAATTTTCTGCTCCAGTTTTCCGGCCTGTCCGCTCAGCTCCCTGCTGCACTTTGGAGAAACAGACTCGACTTAGATCAGCCAGCTGGACGGCAGCAGGAGGAAGCGTTCAGGCCTGTGTGAAGAATTCTAGCGTGGCACGCAGGGCTGATACCCCGCCCCACCGCTCTACTGTATCTCTGCATGTTTCACTGGATGCAGGATCTTAATTTTGTAGCTTTAAAACAGTTTTTCGGATTTTAAAGTGAGATTTTATCTGTTTATTTTTGGCTCTAAAGGGAAGAGATAAACCTTTAAACCTCTGCAAAATATGTTCGATGAGTGCATAAGATGGTATTTTTGCAGCCTGTGCAACCAAAGAGATGAAGTAAGGGGGGAACAGAGACTCAAAAATGGTTAAAAGTGAAGAAACTAACACTTAAAAACCAAAAAATTGGCCAAATACTCAAACTATAATTGATGCATTCTTGAGAGTCCGAGCAGATACAAAATATTTCTCCAAACTACTCAAGCTTTTTCAGTTTCTAACAATGTGGCCAGAAGAAATCACTAATATCTGTATATTTATAAGAAACATTTTCAGTGGAATAAACAGGACAGACTAGATCTTAAATTAGGGTGACCATACGTCGTCTTTTACCCGGACATGTCCTCTTTTTCGGGGCTGTCCGGCCTCATCCAGGGAGTTTATAAAATCCTTCAAATGTCCGGGGTTTGAGTTTGTGTCGTGTGGATTTACTGAGTGAGTAAGCGTAAAAAACATTCGATCCAACCCGAAAAACTCAAACAATTGAATACGCGCGACTCCATGACTCCGCCCCGTGTAGTCGTTTCCTCTCTTTGGAGATTCAGAATATGGTCACCCTAATTAATTTAGACAGGGACAGAGCAGATGAATGAATGTAAGTGTATTAACACAAATGTAAATATACCAGAGTTAGAAAAGTTGCTAATAAACATCTGTAGTTCCTTGGTGGACGATACAGACGTATAAGGAAAAATCAATACATCAGTATATATGATGTGTAAATACTCAATAACAGACTGGATGTAAATGTAAATGAAGTCAAACAAATAAACCAAATTATCACAAGTGCATAAAACAGTTGTAGAATACAAAGCAGACTGGTGCAGTGGATACATATGTATATTATGCATAAATAGCACAAAACAGGATGATGTAATTATAGAGTGCATTGCGAGGCATATATGTGTATTTGTATGCATCAGATCTGCCGCGCAGTGAGTGCAGGTTTGATTTGTTTAATAACCACAAAATACTAATTAAGAAACCTCCAGTGAAGCTATACTCTCCACCGCCTCCACATGACACTCGTTCACAAACTTTACCGAACTGGCAAAGTCGGTAAATCTGGTGCGATTTTACGGCAACCAGCGTCATGAACCAGTTAGCTGCAGGACTCATTTTACACAGTATCGCTATTATGAATATATATCGCGACAAGCTGTGGGAGTTAGGGCTGGGCGATACGGCCTCAAATCAATATCATGATATATTGATCAGTTCACCTCGATAACGATAAATAGACGAAAACTACTCCACAAGCTGCTCACCCCCTCCAACATGAACTTCGTCTACTTCAGCCGCTACAACTTTTGAACCGGGTGGAGTCACGTCTCTGACGTAGGACAGCGTCTTAAAGGGACATGAGACCATAGCCTACCTACACACATCCAAAACCAACTTTGATTCATTTAATTTTTTGACACTGAATATACCGATATGGGCAAAATAATGTTGGTCATTGTCGTAAATTTCGGTATCGATAAATTTTCGGTTTATCGCCCAGCCCTAGCGGGAGTTACGTTATTCATAAGCTAAAATACCGTCAAAGAAAAGTGATAACTAAAGTTTGAAAATAGAGTATGAGGTGCTGCTGACCTGTCCCATAAACAGACAGCTGGTGCGGGTTCGAGTCCAGCCTGTGGAGCTGTCATTCCCAGCTCTCTTATTATTTCCTCCTCTATTGAAACAGAAAGGAAAAGAAACCTTGAGGATTAACGTGGCGTAAACGAGTTTTATCATGACGTGGATGTACGGAGGAATAACGTCAGAGTGTGACGAGTCATTTCAGACGAGACGGAGATAACAGGTTTTCACAGTTTTGTTAAAAAAGTGAATATAAACTAATCTGGAGTATGAACAGGCTCACTAAGCGTCCATGTTTGAGAGGAGCTGTGGAGCGCTGATGCTGATCTGACAGCTGCCGGGTCGCAGAGGTCGGCTGAAGCACTCGGGCAGAAACTCGGAGCGTCAGAAGCCGAAGTATCTCGCAGCGTCGAGGCTGCGGATCGTTTTAGAAACGCTCCGATAAGACAGAGCGGTTTGGAAATGGAGGTCAGTGTGACACGGGGGATTAAACTGTTGTTTTTAGCTGCAGGCTGGATCTGAATAAAAGGATCTCTGACTGAGTCTCATGAAAAGCAAATTTCACTAAAAATTTTACTCCCAGGAAAAATGAAAACGCAGGAGTTTGTGAAGCGGTTCAGGGTGAGAGAAAGCAGGATGGAGGAGGAGGAGCACGTCTTTACTATCTCCTTACTGGATTATCGCTGAGCTGGCGAGTTTTCAGTCTGTAATGTCAAAGAAAGATTTTTATTTTCCTGTTTTATTTTGTAGGAGTTGATTCCTTTTGTTTCTGGTCTGGTTTTACTTCCTTAGTTTTCCCTCCTTCGTGAGTTTCACCTGTGTCTCGTCTCCCTGTGTGTCTCTGTCTTCCCCTCCGTCCTTGTTGGTTCATTATATGTCGATGTGTATCCTTGTTTCGACTGTCTCCACTGTGATTTTTGTGGATTCTTCTCTTTTGTTGCTTTTTTTCTTTGAGTTCTTTGAATTAAACCATTTCTCGTTCTGCATTTGGGTTTTTCCTTCGTTTAACTCTGCACGTCGTGACATCCACAGGAGTTTTCTTTTTGTTGTTGTTGTTTCCATACACTGAATTATCATGAGTGGACTCAAAACAGAACAAAGCATCTATTAGGATGTATCCCCTCCCTACTTTGTCATTTCTTTACCCGTGTTATATCACTGAATGTTACTTCCTCCCAGCTCCCTGACACAGCTGCTGCTCTAAGGTTGTGTGTTTTTCTTTGTCCTAATTAGTGGGTGACTTTGTGACTCAGTTGTGTTTTTCCCCTTCGGTCAGAAAAAAACAAAACAAACAAACTCTGTTGACCTCGATGATAAATAATCAATGTTTTTCATGCATGAGTTGGTGCTTAGGCCTGTTATGTAACAGTGAGCAAATACTAAAGGGTGGATATTAACTTTAACTTATGCTCTATTTGATGTAGGTCAATGCTGACTGTTCATTTAAAAGAAAGGAAGGATGGTGGGTGGTGTTGCAGGACAAGGAAAAGCCTGTCTGGGTCAGAACCGACACAGAAAAGAGAGAAACAGGAGAAGTGAGGTAGTACGGGGGTTATCAGTGTGTGCAGGCAGTACGCTCTACCTGCCCTTAAAGGGATATTCCAGCATAAAACCGCTTGCCAACCGCTTACTTCTCAACCAAAACGCCACAAATAATGCTCAGAACAGCACCTAACTTCATCAACAGAACATATAGGGTCACAGACATAGTACTAGCCACCAAACATCTTTTTAACTTTGCCTTATTTCTTTAGCAAAGAGACTAAACACAACTCACCTACTCTCTTCCAGCAGCCATTACGGACTACAGCGGGGTGCCGCAGCTCAAGAAAGAACATTTATGATCATTTCTCTATCATTTCCTTGAAGTATTAATCATTATATTAATCATTTTTCACTGCAGATGCGGTAGTTCTTCTGTCTTCTTCTGTCTGATTGTATTTCCGTAAAGAAATGATCATAAATGTTCTTCCTTGAGCTGTGACACTCCGCTGTAGTCGATACACTCACCTGAAGGTCTCCATACAAACAAGCGGCTGCTGGAAGAGAGTAGGTGAGTTGTATTAGGAAGGTAAAACTAGTGTAAGGAGATATCTGAGCTAGCATCATCTCCTGAGCAAGTACACTCTACCTTCCTTTTCTTATAAAGGGAGGGAAGATGGTAAAAAGAGGAAGTGATAACAGTCTCCAAAGAGAAGTGAGTAAGAGGATAGGAAAGGCAGAGCTTGGACCTTCGGACTGTTTTGGCTGGAGTTTACCCCTTCTGACAAAGGCTGTACGCTCTACCTCCCCCTATTTCTCTTTTTAAATGAGGGGCGGGCAAACAACAGATGAAACACAGCAGAGTCTTTAGAGAGATGTCAGAGAGAGGATGGCGAAGGTAGAGCCAGGATGTAGCGCCAAGTGTGTTCAAGCAATATGGGGAGCTGAGCAGTGACAGCTTTAACCTTTACGTGTGATACTAGAGTCGAGGAACACAGCACCTGCCAGGCCAGGATCAGCTCTACCGCAAGGTCGGGGGTTCACTGAGACCCCAGGCCCTCCTGGAGACCTCCATCTGCCTGAGCAGAGGGTCAGGAGAAAGACAAGCAGAGAGGGATTAAAATCTGACCGGCAGAGAACAGGCCCAGAGACCGAATCCTTGAAAATGTCGATAGATTCTCAGGAGTCGTACATGAGAAACAGGAAATGATCCCAAGAGTGGGCGCAAGATTCAGACATGCCAGAGAAAATGTAGAAAGACTCAGCGAGAAGAAGGAGAAGGTTTAAAACAAGAACTCAGGACTGAGAAACACCTCAGATGAACCAGACGAGAGCAAAGTCATGAAGAGAAAGACGAGCTGCAGAGGAGATAGAGGGTCTACTGCAACGCAGAGATGAGAAAGTGGGAGGCGGGTGGTGTAGACGGGGAAAAGAGAGCAGTAGAGGAGCAGTGGCGTCGGTGTGTGGGCGTGATGGATCGCTCGCCAGAGAGAGAAAAGAGAATCTGAGGAGAATTTAACCACCCGCTCCTTCAGGGATTCTCGATCATCTTCAACATCTTCGCCACCGCTCAACTCGCAAGACACCAATTTGTTCCTCTATTAATAACGTCGAACGAATGCTCCACGTGATCAGTCATGTGTTGTGTTTATTCAGCAGCTGGTGGGGGGTGAGGGATTGGGGGGGGAGTGGGTGGGTGGGTGAGGAAGGCAAATGCTGAACACGGTGGAAAAAAACTGGAGGAGAAAAGAGCAGGTGGTGTTAATCTTGTGTGTGTGTGCAGCGGGGAAAATAAATGGACCTTACAAAGATGCTCTGAGGTTTCACTGAGCTCTGTGGAGATTGCGTTTTAAACTGGTGGAGTGCACTTTCTGGAGAAAACATAGAGGAGCAAATCAGTAAATTGCACCGAGTCTTTAACCCCGAATTGCAAAAACAGGCTCTCTGTCAGTGTCTCTCTAAACAAATCTTGTCACGCTTTCTTGCCCCAGCGGCGCGTCGTTTCATTTGTCAGCCATGAAAGCGGCTGTGGAAGCAGCAGAGGAACCTTTGGGGGGTGATTTACATGATCAAATATGTCCACCCAAAGTGTTTCAGTAAATGGCGAACCAAGATGAACAGTTTCCGGGCTCGTTCTTGATGGATGTTCAAGGTACGCCTCGTCTGCAGTGGGGTGTGATGAGTCTCGGAGGCGTCTGATGTAGTAACGGATGAGCAACGAGGCAGAACGCCATAACTGTGAGCCCAGATATACTTGCGTTTAAACCCTTTATTCTTGGCTGAATTGCAAATGTAAAGTTCTGTATTTTGGGTGCACTACAGGAGGATACCACTAGAGGGCACATGAGAGGGCTGAGGTTGGATGCAACTTCAAGATTAGCTAAAGACAACGTAAAGAGATGGCGTAAACTGGTGTTAGTGATGCAAACGCCAACCAGATTTCATAGCAACGTCAGATGGCTTATGATGAGAGGACAGAATTAAACCAAGATCCCTCATCCCCATCCGTCCCCGTGTGACCTGACGGTACATCCACGCCACTGCCCCAGTTAGATACCCGTGCCTCCTGTTTTTGACTGTACTGTTTATTGATGTTTGTAAAATCATGCTTTAGTCCAAATCCAGAACTTCATTCTCCACTGAGACACTGAGTTTGACCAAATACTTAAAGGGATATTCCTTTATTCCAACATTGACTGCTCCGGGGTACCGCAGCTCAAGGAAGAACATTTATGATCATTTCTTCATGGAAATACAATCAGACTGAGACGCTAAGGCAGAAGAACTACCACGTCTGCAGTGAAAACATATAAATATGAATATTATTACTTCAAGGAAATGATAAAGAAATTATCATAAATGTTCTTCCTTGAGCTGCGTCACCCCGCTGTAGTCCGTAATGGACTGGCCTGAGGTCTTGCTACAAACAAGCGGCTGCTGGAAGAGAGTAGGTGAGTTGTGTTTAGTCTCTTTGTTAAAGAAATGAGTCAAAGTTAAAAAGATGTTTGTTGTCTAGTACTATGTCTGTGACCCTATATGTCCTGTTGATGAAGTTAGGTGCTGTTCTGAGCATTATTTGTGGCGATTTGGTTGAGCGTGTGGCTCTCTGTATTACTATCCTGCAGTCATTACTAAAGTTGGTATGACTAGAGAAGCAAGCGGTCCGCAATATTCATCTGTGTCGTATCTGTATCTGTGTAGACGGGGGTGTCTAACTCTGTGTTACGGTGTGTTTGACTGTAACTTAAATTTATGTCCCTTTAAGTGCGAGTCCGTTGCTGGTTGAAATAGCGGCCAGCACCCCTATATATATATTGAATATATCCCTTCATTTCGTCGTTGCTCCAAAGGTTTAGGTCGCTGCCTGTTTCAGAGCTGTTGGCTTCAGTTATCTGCCTGAGTAAACCCAGACTGATTTAAACACCAAAACATAAAAACAAAGAGCCCAGGTGTGAAGGTACCCCTGTGGGACACATTCGGTCGGTGCGTCAGCTAATCGTCCGCATAAAAAGTAATAATGGAAGTTTACAGCAGGCCGATCAGACGTCCTTTTGTGCCTCCCTGGCTGCGGTTTGCAGGTTAAATTAAGTCCTTTGTGCTGCACAGAGCATTTTCTCCAGGTTGTCTGGGCCCTGCCCCAGCTCTTCAAACACTACGACCACACGCCCAGCAGCGAGAAAGCGTGCCTGTGGTTGAAACCCGGCCATTGTCTGCACAGATGATTGTGAGTCATTGTGCTGGCAGGACAAGCCGGGAGTCAAATGATGTGATGTAGCGGAGAGAGACCTCCATTGTGGCCCGTGGAACGCCGCGGCAGGAACGGCCGCCCTGGCAGATACCGACTGCTGGACGTTTCGGGGAATTTTGCATGAATAGTGGAGTAATTCAGTCCGAGGCGACGGGGTGATTAGCATTTTGAGAGGATTCACCGCCGGCTCGGCCCCATTCACAGGGCGGGTCTGTGAGTCGCCTGCAGAGAGTGTTGGTGCTCGGGTTAATTTGGGAGGAAAGGTCATGTCTGCTTACAGACGACTGAACGGACACGATTATAGTGTCAATCATGAGCATTAAGAAGAATTTAACTGTCCTTTTACCGGTTTTATAAGATGTAAGATTCATCTAAAAACCAGAAAAAGAGAAACTCAAGGCTGCAGCTTGATTTTGTTGTGTTTCTCTGTGTGTGTGTGTGGTACCCAGCGCACTCTTTCAGTCAGAGGTTGAGCAGCTTCCTTGAAAAGACGTCGCGGTTAGAAAACAGGTGTTTCATTTTCACTTTATTTTCTCCCTGAAAGCAGCCGCCTGAATATTCCGAGTCAGGGTTTTAAAGAACACGCTGCACATTTCTCTCCGGACTTCTCTAATGAGCTGCAAACTCTGCCAAGTTGTTTTTGGCTCTTTTAAGCACCAACACACACACAGACTTCACGTTTTCAAACAACAAATTGTTCCCTTTCCGAGGCTGATTTGTTGAGGGATTGAAGTCCTCTCCCCCATCGAGGAGACAGATGGTGAAGTCTGTGAAAAAAGATGCTTCAGCTGAGGGAGGGAGCCAGGAGGTGTGTGTGTGTGTGTGTGTGTGTGTGTGTGTGTGTGTGTGTATAGCCTCCCTTCACACTGGGTTATCTACCTGCTTTTTGACTCTTTATTGTCGTAGTATGAATACCTGTGCGTTTGGTATGTGGAGATTAATCGATACGGATCGTGGTCGCGACGGTTGCATCGTTTTTTCCATGTTGTTCTAAATTCTATCAAAATAGTAATAATAAATAATAATAAATTTTATTTAAAGGCGCCTTTCTGACACTCAAGGTCACCGTACAAATCACATAAAAAACAGCATAAAACATTTCAAACACATTTAAGAGCAATATCAAATAAAAAAATAAATGAATAGATCAGTAAGGAAAAAGAAAGAGAGAGAGAAATGGACATTATGGTGGATCGGCAGTTCTGAACAGACGTGTTTTGAGTCTTGATTTGAAAAAGGGTGAGAAGGTCAGTGTTCCTGAGATCGGATGGTAATGAGTTCCAGAGCCACACCCCATGGTGTTGAGGCGGGCGGAGGGGGACAGACAGGTGTACGGAGGAGGAAGACGATCTGAGGGAGTTGTAACGTGGATGAGATCAGACAGATGGTTGTGGATGGCCTTAAATGTAAGGAGGAGAACTCTGAACTGGACTGAGAGCCAGTGGAGCTGTTGGAGGACTGGAGGGTTACGATGCGGGCAGCTGAATTCTGGACCGGTTGGAGTTCATGGAGGGTTAATCCAGGCGGGAAGTGACGAGACTGTGAACAAGGATGGCGGCATTGTGGGGGGTGAGGGAAGGGCGGAGGCGATTGATGTTGCGTAGGTGTTTCCGAGGCGTCTTGAACGCACCATCACCGTTTCGCGATTTATTTTGAAGATGGATGGAAGCCGCGCGTGTGCATACTCTTCAGCAACACAAAAGTTCAAATCCAACGTTTGGAAGAACTCTGGATTTTACAAGAGAGATGGTAAACTTGACAAGACGCACGTTATTTGTAAAGAACGCCGAGCTTCTAAACCTCACAACGACAGCACGACAAATATGGCCGCTCACTTGAAAAAACACGGTATCAATGTCACGAAAATCGTTGCTACTGGAGTGCAGGAGGCGAACAGCGATACGGTTGAGAACGGGAAAATCACAAAACACTCAAAAAAACAAAATCGAATTTTGAAAAATTTATTAATTTCTTTACTATTTAAAAGTCAAACCAGCTCAATGTAAAAATTTGAATTCACAAAATATAAACACAAGTTATAAATATACAAAAGTATAAGTGAGATAAATTTAATGTATTGGGATGAGGGATGAATCGTATCGTATCGGCAGGAATTCAATGTATCGCAATTAATATCGTATCGTTGGCAGTGAATCCAGACGGGTATCTAATCGCTGCAGTGATGGAGATTCACATCCCTACTGTGCCTGGATAATACCTCACATTTCCTCCCTCATTCCCTGCATGTTTTTCTTTATACCACAGCCTTTTCTGCAGAGGTCTGATATTGTCAGTTTCCCCTCTTATCTCGACGCTCTAATGAACATGCAAATAGTATTCAAATGTGTTACTACCATCTCTGTGAGGTGTGGATTTAATTAGCGTCAGCGGCCCCCTGAGAACGTTGAAAAATGATTTGAAAAGAGTTTTTTCTCACTAACACTTTCTTTCGTTTCCTCTTGCTGTCGGCGCCTCAGCTGTGAGGCACTTTTCTCGCATTCTTAATCAGGAGTTGTTGATCTGAGAGGTGAGAGTGGAGACGTGCTCAGAGTCTCAGTCCTCCTCAGGATGGAGGATTCAGCTTTCACGATCTGCAGCTCTGCCGTGGAGGTTTTAGCATCTTTGCCAAGATGGAAACACAGTGTAGAGTTTAATCTCTGTTTCTTTGGTCTATTGATAAAAATCTTCTCTATGTGAAGTTATTTGAGCTTCTTCTTTTTTGCTCGTACAGACGAATCATGAAAAACTTAATCTTTCACCAAAGCCTGTAGATTTGATTCTTATAAACGAGACTGAAGTTTATCCTGATACGTAGAGCATCACTTCATCACCTGCAGGTACACTTGATTTCAGTCTGAACCACTAAAACTTAAACTCTGAGAGCTCCTGCCTTTTAATGTGCAGATGTAAAGTAGAAAGCTGGAGGCAGGAAGAACACAACTCCCCTCTGTTTTTATGAGCATTGATGAAAAGCCAGAGCAGGGAGAGCAGCAGCAAAGACTTCTAGACTATAGACGGGTTTCTGGCTGCAGAAAGTAGGATATTTCTTATTTGTTTACTAGCGGAGAAAGAAAAACGACATGGAGCTGTTGTTCTGTAAACTGCGAGAATCGGCAAAACAAACAATCGGCAAACATTACGACCCTGATCCTGATATTAGAAAAATCTAAAACAACGTCACGACCTAAAGTGAAATTCATGGATATTTCAGCAAAAGTTTTTCTGATTTTGATGCAATGAAAGAAAAAGTGATTTTTCAATGAAAAGACATTTTATTGCAGTTGAACCTGCAAACAATACGGCATCTTCACTGATATCAGTTCACTCTGAAGCAGACTTTTGCCTTGTTGCGTGCGCATCTAGAAAGAAAACCTGTCTATAGAGCAGGAACAGCAGCAGGAAAGACTTAAGAGTATAGATCAGAGGAGTCAGATTTCCAGCAAAGACCCCTAGAAAACAGGACAGAATGGGGAGTTTTGACTTCCTGGCCTGCCTGAACTAACTCTGACCTCCATTGTAGCCTCCAAAACCTCCAAAAAGCCTCCAAAGACTTCTTCTTTTTATTTTTTGGTTCACTTTGATAAAGTTTTCTTTTCTTTTACTGCGCTCCTGAAATCGTTCGCTCTCTGCTCGGGAAGTAAAACTATTTTTCTCGTTTCTTTCAGAGGCCAGAGATTCAAGATGGGAGGCAAGCTCAGCAAAAAGAAGAAGGGATACAATGTAAATGATGAAAAGGCCAAAGACAAGGATGCCAAAGCAGAGGGAGCCTCTGCTGAGGAGAGCGAAGCTCCAAAGGACAACAAGGACGAGGCCCCGGCTGCCGACGGGAAGGAGGTAGCAAACGACACGGCGGCCAAGGAGGCGCCGGCGGCAGATGCTGCAGCGCCTAAAGAAGAGGAGAAGAACGCAGCGAAGGAGCCTGAGAAACCTGCCGCCAACGCTGAGCCGAAAACAGAGGCGCCGAAGAGCGCAGAGCCCGCTAAGGCCGAGGAGAAACCAGCTGCCCCCGCCCCTGCGAAGGAATCGGCTCCTGCAGCTAAGGAGCCCGAAGCTAAGGCCGCCCCTGCGGCCGACAGTAAAGGTGAGGCCGACGCCAAAAAGACTGAGGCCCCCGCGGCACCAGCAGCCAAAGCCGAGGCAGCCCCCGCTGCCTCCCCTGACCCCAAGCCCACAGAGGCGGCTCCGGCAAAGGACGCCGCCGCTAGTTCAACACCAGCCGCCGAGCCTCCCGCCAAGGAGGCGAACGCCACAGAGGCACCAAGCAAGGATCAAACCGTAGCAGTTCAAGATTAATGGACAGCTTCTTTTCGGAAATGAAAAATTAAAGTACCTAACTCCACAACGACGATGAAGATAAAATAAATTAACTAGCCCGCCCATATTCTGACAGTAACAATAATAATAATAATTCTCAAAGATGATGATTCGTTAAATGAGGACTGGAGCAAACACCTGGAGAAGTTCCACTGCTGCAGATGATTATTGCTATTATTATTGTTATGTTTGATTTTATTTTTTCTGCTGTAGTATTTGAACTTTGATACGAGTCTGTGTCGGCCATACGCTCGCCATCGCATCCCATCAGCCCTCTCTCTCTCTCTCTCTTTATCTCTCTCTCTCTCTCTCTCTCTCACACGGTTCACACTCTCAGCTGCACCCTCTGCTCTGTGATGTCAGGATATCTACACCTGAGGGGGAGGAGGCTGAAGGAGGAGGAGGAGGAGGCGGAGTTTAAGAAATCACTTCACCAGCTGGACCTGCAGCGAGTCCATCCACTCTTCAGCGCTCCCCCCTCACTCCTCCTCCTCCTCCTCCTCCTCCTCCTCAGAGTATTGGGTATCTGCTTCGGCCTGGTTTTGGTCTTGTTGGGTTGTGTTGCTACTCTTTATTTCCTCTTGGGGTTAAAATCCACTTTTCTGAGCTGCCAAAACTGAAGGGAAATCTGAAATGTACCGTGAGGGCTGAGAGCGATCGGGCTTTCTGAGACACTCCGAGGTTTAAGAGGCCGGCTTCTGCAGAGTCAAACACATTCTTAGACTTATAAAACAGTCGTAGGAATTTTTCAGATAAACTTTAGATTTTGTACTGGAACCCTTAGCTATATTGTAACTGAACTAAGAGGTTTTTTAACATTTGTAATATGCCTTCAAAATCTGCAAAGCCTTGCTGCACATGAGCTCGGCGGTGATCTCAGAAAGGCTGATGGAAATCTCTGATCCTCGGGACGCAAATTCAAAACAGATCCAAATTTTTTTTAGTACAAATTTACATCCTTAAAGGTCGTTAATTTACTCAAATTACCAAACTTCTGACGTTCGCAGCTTAACCTGGACAGAAAAGACCAAACCGACTCTTAACTGAACTTCATTTAGCTGGATTGTGTCGCTGTAACAGGCTCTTATATCTGACATAATAGGATTTAAAGCTCCTATAAGGGGTTTTCTGACATTTATGAACTAGGCTGAAACTCATACTGATGTAGCGACAAAATTAAAGATTTTTATCTCCTAATTTTAATGCCTGAAACTGCTACGAGGGGCTGAGCGGCTTTTACGTAAAATCTAAAAAATAATTACTGTAGCATGTAGGGGACAAGATAAGCAGAGACTGCTTTGTCCACAGGGGGGCGCCAAATTGGCTCAAACCAAAAGTTTCTTACAGGAGCTTTAAAATGGCTTCCATAAAATAGGCACAAACTTTGATTTAAGTTTAATAGTTCAGCAGCAAAACAATATGAGGTACATTTTTGTCTAATATCAATACTAAATTGCGCATTAAACATGAAAAAACACAAAAATAGATGCAAAACTAAATAAAACACCCCCTAAAATGCAGATTTTAGTTCATTTTCACATAAATTCTGGTGATAGAACGCAGAAATTTAAAAATTCTGCTGTTTCCTGATCAGTTATGTGCTCATGTATAACTGAATTCAACATTTTTAAAGTAAGAAATCTGAGATTCATCCCAGGGTTCTTATTTTAGATCCAGAAATTTCAAATAGAACCTTTAAATCTTCATTCTTTTGCTCAAAACAACCCCTTAGTTTGAGTTTAAGTCCCACATCTAGTTTAATCCTGGACATATCTCCTCGAACATGACCCTCCTCTTCTACAGTAGCTTTGAGTAACCTGACCCTGACATACACACAGTGACTCACAAACATAAACTTACAAAATTGAGTTTAAACCGAATTTATGACGTACGGTTGTCAAAGTGATGGTGTGGTCCGTCCAGACGAGCAAACCTCAGCAGTTTGGTATGAGAGCAGGTGAAAACAGAGCAGACAGATCATCGCAGGTGCGTCACCTGTGTTTTTAACCCCTCATAAGTCCTCTTTTATTCTTAGTGTGATCCCATCGAGGACGGGAGGAGAGCCATCATCACCTCCTCCATCGACCACACTCCATGTTTCTATAGCAACCACTGTACACGCCAAGCTTTCATTATGGGACCTGAAAAAGGAGCTTCTGATTTAGTCACTGCCATCCCTCATGCATCACTTTATTTTTCAGGAGTTTATATATTTATATCTTTATTTATGCGACAGTGGAAACGAGAACACCGAAAAAAAAACACCTGAAACTGAAGCTAAAGTAGAAATACGACACATTCGGTTTTTACTCCAAAATAAAAGGAAGGATAGAAAGAAGAGAGTCTGATCACAGCTTTGGCTGTTGTGAGGAAAGGAGGGAAGGAAAGGAAGAAGGAAGGACAGAAGGGGAGTAGTTGAATAATCCTGAGCGCACAAGATAAATGCTCTGGAAGGTAAGACGCTCATGCACTTAAAATAATTATCTTTGTGGACCCGTTATGATATTGTGTTCAAGGGTCGTTTATCATGGAAGCTCAAAAAAATCATCTTGTGCGCACATGATAACAAGATAATTATCTTGTGATGACCATTTATCTTGTGCAAATAAGTGTTAAACCTTTTGGGAACAAGCTGTGTTTCTAGTGCGCTCTAGTTTATAATACTGGCCACACATCAGTTATCTTGTTCACGCAAGATTGTTATCTTGTAGGGACTTGTGATTACATTTTGTGCACAAGTTAGATATCTTGTTGGGACTAGTCATTAATCTTGTGTGCTCAACTTTTTTTATCTTGAGTGCACAAGTAACATCTAGTAAGACTGAGTCACTTTTCTTAAATGCTCAAGAGAACAATCTTGCTTGCACAAGATAACTGACTTTGTTGCACAAGATAATTATCTTGTGATGACCAGTAATGTTTTGCACACAAGTTACTCATCTTGTGGGAACATAATTTATTTCATGTGCTCTTTTCTATTAAGTTGTGCAAACATAGTTAATCTTGCATAAACAAGATACTGGCTCTTGCAAGATAATATCTTTAGTAGTCAGATTCAGTTATGAAGTTATGAGCGCCAGGTGAATATCTTGTTGAGATCAAGTCATTTATCTTGTGAAAAAGTCTTGTTCCCACACAATATTTGGACTTGTGCACAAGATAAAATCTTGTTCCAACAAGATGACAAGCTTGTAAAGTATCTTGTTCATACTTTGATAAGTCATATGAGCACACAAGATAAATAACCTGTATACAAACTAACTCCTGGTTTCTCAAAGGATAGTTATCTTGACTGCATATGAATTCTTGCGTGCTCAAGATTATCATGGGCCCAGTCTTGATGTCATGTTGTGTTTTGTGCACAAGCTAAACACCTTGTGGGAATATTACGTTAATCTTTTCATCTTGTGCGCACACATAAATTACCTCCAGCTCAGAAGTTAATAATCATGTGCGCACAAGATAGTCATCTTGTTGGAAGTAGTTTTCTTTTTTTTGGTTGTGTGCGCACTTCTTAGTTACAAAGTGGGCACAGGTGATTTATCTTGAGCACCTGAGTTCATTGTCCAGCTCCCACCTGGTAATTAACTTTTGCGCACAAGAAAAGTATCTTGAAAAATATCTTGACCCAGCTTGGAAAATTTTCTATCCCCCATGTTTAGTTTTCCACTGTCGCATATATTTTGGATATACTCGTATACATTCCTCCATTGCAGCCATCCATGCGCCAGATTTCTTTATTTGCTTACAAGTGCCACACAACGTTTTCCCCCGCAGCACTCGTCAAACCGTAGCAGAAACAAACATGGCGGAGCGTTGTGTGTCACTTGGTTTGGGTTTTTCTTCCTCTCTTGACTCAGTAAATTGCATGTCCGTGGTTGGGTGAACCTGTAGTCCTGTCTTTTTGGTCAAGTGGAAAAAAATAAAAAAAATGAATTATTTCTCAGTCTGCATCCATGGCAACTACAGTTGATATTTTCATTCCATGTCTCACCTCTGCTACTTCCACACCACTCGTTCATTGAAAAACAAACAAAAAGATGATATGGAAATTGATGCATTCAAAATTATATGTACTTGTATAAATGGTGCAACAGTAATAAAATGTAAGAAATTGACTGAAACTTGAAGATTTTGTGCTTTTTTACTTTTTTTTTTCTTCTTGCACTCACAGATTAGACGTTTTAACCTTTAATTTAAGGGTTCGAGTAAAACACATATCTGAGCGCACACTCATAAAAAAATCTTGTCCGGACAGAGGGGCTGCAGACGTCAGTATTTCCTGCATTTTTCCTTGCACCATGATATAATAGGGTGCCGATCTCAGAACTTTTCGATTAAAGATACTGTTATTGCATTTTCATCCTGCGCTGACCAAATCCAGATCGAGACCGTCACCAAGCTCTCCATCATGCACACTCTCTTTTATATGCACAGACACGAACAAAAGGCACTTTTTCAAAATTTATAGCTGCAAACTTTTAATGCTACCAGTTATTATTCCCATAGAGGCTAATGGGATTGTATAGTGCATGTAGTAAAAAATATCAGCAATAAAAATAAAGATTAATCTACTGTTTTTTGATGGAGAGCAAACTGGATATAAGTTCGTATCAGATCTTTTCCACTGTGTTGGCGTGCCCTGAAGACTTTTCGAGCATGTACCTGCAACGCAAGAAAGTTAACTGAAAACAAACAAAACCAGTGAGAATATTCAAAACAACGATAACAATAATCTAACCAAAAAAGTAAAAAAAAAATAAATAAATACTACTACTAATAATAATGCGAACCCAACATGCCCGAAAAGGCGTAAGATAAAGCTTTATGCTTTTTTTAAACCTACATCTTTCCTCTACTCAATAGACAGTCAGTCTCCGATGTATATACATTATATTAACAAAAAAATATAGAATATAAATAGTGTAAATAAGTACATTAATCACATGCTAATTCAGAAAGTCACATTTAAGCTGACATACTAGCAACCATACTTGAGCTTCCGGTTCATCTCACAGTAACCCGCGATTTCCACCGCATCCGGAACGGGTATGAAAAGGCTGTATCCTCCGATCGTAATAACTCAAGTTAATGTATCAATTTCCAATTTCAAGAGTTCTTTTTTTTCCAGATGCTGGAGCATGTCGGATAAATTCAGCCCCGATTAACCCGTGCTGGAAAGGAAGTCAGGCACAGACACAAAATAAAACATCCGGAGGGATCATATTTCACACCATGCAAACAGGTGGAGACAATCAAGTGAAAGGTTTTCAAGACAGCATTTTACCCTGATAACACCATGGATAAGGAGATGCTGATTCTAGAAGTCTAGAAGTAGATTTCCTCCTCTGGAAGGACACAATCTACTGCTTTTGGTTAGTCTATGTGGCTAAAGACAACTGGTTATTGCGTGATTGCACGTGAATCTGCGGGTTCTTGTGAGTTCTCGCGATTCCTGCTGTCTGTAATCCGCCACGAAATTCACCTCAAAAACAGACCTGGTAGGAACTGGCGAACGGTTGAAATCCCGGGTAAGAGTAACGACAGGACCTTTGAGGGATTGTATTTTTCAAATCTACAACACGTCCAGTTTTTCTGGATCCTTTTACTGAACAGAGGCTGGACAAAGAGAAAGTATGACGACCCGACAGATAACAAGGACTCACAGTGAATTTTTGTGCAAACTCTCACTTTTGTGTTTCGTTCTGGTTTTTCTCCTCACCTGGGTAAAAGCAGTCAGACTCACGTGAAAAGTGATTCACAATCTTCAAACACCTGAAGCACCTGGAACGGTTTCAGCTGCTCTCAGCATCTTCCTCCCCTGCAGCGAGAGACAGATTTGTACTCCGGCTGACTTATTTTAAGGTTCACAGTGAGAAATGTGGGTCAGATCTGTGGAGCTACTATCCACTGATGGGTATGAATTATGAAACAGACTGTTTGTACTACAGGCTGCTGATACGGAGAAATTAATGGTTCTCTGCAAAGAAATCTGAAAAACTGACCCAGAGGTAAAAATGTAGAGTTTTAATAGATGCTGCATGTGTGCTAGCATGGAATAGAGTATCTGTCACCACTCATGAACATAAGGATGGAGTGTTTTCAGAGTTTTTAAGAGTGCAAGATTCGTATATGACGATAATTTGACATGTTCTAGTTGTCTTTTTAGCAAGGAAACAAATTCAGCCTCTCAGTTTTTAACCCCAGTATTCATATCGTGATCTAAAGGGGTGTTGATGTTACAGATGCCCTGTGCTGATTGGCTGAGGGGGGTTGCAGACCAGTGCATATAACTACAAGGGTGGAAAAAATACCAATATGGCGAGTGCTCCAGAAGAACAGATGGATCCAGAGGAAGGAAAACTGCAGTTATGGCCTCAGGCCCGAGAAAAATGGACGGATGCAGAGGCGGAAAAACACCAAAGCAAATTTGACGAGTGCTGCAGAAGGATGAATGGATGCAGAGGCGGAAACATGACAGACTGTAAGTATTTAAATCATCATATCAACTCTGGACAAAAATTTTCTTGGCAGTGGCCGGTCAGCCTCGTCCTCCTAGATGGATGAGGCTGACCTTCTTGAGCCTCGGCACTTGCCCGTACAGGTCCTTGTTGGTAATGTGGATGTTCTGGTCCACATTCAGAACAGCTCGTAGCATTCTGGTGTAGCACCCACTCAGGGACTTCTGCAGGGTGGGTGTCAGGCAGTGGCGGCTGCTGGTCTTTCAAGGAGGGGAAGCTCATTTTTCTGGCCTACATCATAATTGTATTTGTTTATTAGTATGTAACAGAACAGAGTCGCCAAACACAACGGCAGTCGTTTTTAACAAAGACAAAAGTCGCTGAGGATCGGTAAAGTCTCCGGAGCAGTTAAGAACAACGGAATGAATAACTTGGAAAATGCTCTGGTAGATGTTTTATTCTTCAAGATCGCTGATTCGCTTGTTTAGCTGTCAATCAAAAAAGGATTTCGCCTCAGACAGCTCATCCAATCATGGATGCAGAAGCTTGCAGTCCGGGAGAAAGTCGGGACCGCCCTCTCGCCATAGAACTCCAGTGAAGCTGGGCTTCCGATGGGCGGGACAAAGCCCAGCATTTATCCAATGAGCGTCTAGTTTCGCTGCTGGAACAACCCACTTTTAGCTTCCACATTGAAGTCAGCAGAAGCCCAGCGTCCGGCTGTTTAAAGCGCTGAGGCGCTGCGAGGATGAAGGAGAACGAAGTTATGCCGGTTACCTGTGATTATCAGCTTCTTATCACAGTGTCTGAACAAAAGATGAAGGCTTTCTAGTGCGTATTTAGTTAATGAAATGTACACACAGCAGTACGTATTTCACCACTTTTTCTTTTTTTTGAGGGGTGACATTTTAAGGGAAGCCGAGCTTCCCTTGCAGTCTTAGAGCAATCGCCACTGGTGTCAGGGTCCAGCTTTCGCAGCCAAACAGGAGGACGGCCTCCACAGTGGCGTGGAAAAGGTTCAGCTTTATGTGCCTGGAGAGATTTGAGCACCACACTCTTGGCATACCGTTCAAGGCCCTCCACGCTAGTGCCTCAATAACTAATAGCTATTGACTGTTTTTAAAAGCCTTTTTGTATATATATATATGCCATAAAAAAGATGCTTCTTTAACAGAATCCCACCTTTTGTTTCTAACTTGATGATCCTGGCCTTCCACCTCCTGCTACCAGAGTCCAGGTCTGACTGAGTTGACTGGGTTCACACAGATAACACCCACACAGCACCCAAAGGTCCCCTACAGGCCATTTCTGAGGCCATACCTCTTTCCACTGAGCAACTAATTCACCCCTCCTTATCACATGGAGCAGAGAAATATTGACGGGACATCAGAAACACGACAAATATTAAAGACTGGAGCCTCGCCAGGAGGTGATGATTGATGTCTTTATCTGCTCCTCTTCGGTCGCCCTCCCTCCCTCTCTGGGGGGAGGCGGTAAATCAGGGAGTTAATCTCACTGCTGTGATTTACACCTGTTCAGGCACCGTTTCTCACCCAGTAATACCCCCGCCGTGCCTCCACACGAGGATGGAGTGCAGGAATAGGACCGGTGCAACATGGAGCACCGAAGACACCAGATCATACGTGCAAGTCGCTCTCAGAAACGATCAGTTTGGACGGAATTTATATGAAAGTAAAGTTGAGCACCGAGGCTGTGCTTGGCGGTAACTTTGCACAGAACTAATGCTGCATTCCAGTTGTACTCAGAAGTTGGAATTTCCAAGCACCGAGTCGGAAATCCACCTGGAACGCCCCCCTGAAGTCGGGTTTCCGACTCGAAAAGTCGGACGATCCTCACCAACCCCGACGTGACGATAACGTCATATTCCAAGATGTTGTGCTGCTCGCCATCTGGTATCGCTAACAACTAACAACGGCGTACAACAGCTGACAACCGCTAATGACAGCTGACAGTTGTATACAACAGCTAACAACAACTATCAGTAGGCGTCCATCTTGGTTTTCCGACTTGTCAACTGCAACGCCGTCAACTCCGGTGTAACGCCATTCCCAGCTCCGATATCCGAGGGAACTGGAACGCATCATAACCCTTAAATTTACATCTCTGATTTTGTTTGCTTGTCCTGCAGGAAAACAAAGAACAGATGTATTTTTGCAACAACACGCCCACTTTCTCTCCGTCTCTGCGTTTATTTCTGCAGTTCGGTGGCTCGAAAATGATGCATTCTGACATTTCTCTTTGTGTTTATTTTTGAAAACTCTGCCACAGCTCGGCCCGTCTCTCCGTCTGTCAGATTTATTAAAATGCTCAGAAGCAGAGCTCTGACCTTTAGTACGTGGACTGTATCAGATCCCTTACGACGCAGACACACACACACACACACACACACACACACACACACAGAAAGTGTTGGTAAGTAAAGGCTGTCAGGCTTCACACAGAGGCAGAGAGAGAAGCAGCACACAGATGTTGAACAATGAGCAGAAATTAAACTTTTATCTCAGCGACTGTTTTTCTCTCACAGATGAGATAGATGCTGCATGAGTCCCTGCAGAAACAGAGTTATCACTCCTCTGTTGAAATGAGGAAGAATTATAGTGACATGATTTGTATTTTTTAAGTTATTTTCTGGCCTTAAACTCAAATTTCTTAACAACAGAAAATACAAAAAAAACAAGAAATGTCTGAAAACTGAGAGGGAAGTCAAGATAACAGAAACAGTCACAATTCTTAGGGCCTGTTTCCACTTACAGCAATTTCAGAGTGTTGCACTTCTACTTTGTTGAATGCTCCTATTGCTCCTATATGCTCCTATTAAAATTATGGCACTTGTCGTGTTAAGGTCCTTTTACACCAGGAGCGTTTTTGTCATGCTATTATTTCGGACGTCAATATTTTTTTTCGAACCTGTATCCTGTCAATACAAGCGTTCACGTTTTCCCGTCCTGTGATATTGCAGTATTTATTTTTCGGATCACAGTCGATTTTTCTAAACTTTCGCATACTGTGTGTCCACTTCTGACCAATCAGATTTCATGTTGTTGCGACGTCAGATTCACCGGTATATCCAACATGGCCGACCAGCTGTTTGTTTACGTGTCGGAGAACAGACATTACAAAGATAACGACCTGAAGGACAACTTGTCGGATTTCTTATATGACGATGGTTTGTGTTCTTTAACAGTTTGATAAACGTCTTTGTTTTAACTTTCATCTGTGCTAAGTAACTTTAGCTCGTAAGCTAACCTGTTCAGATACAACATACCATATGTATTTTCACTGTAAACTCAAACTCAATCACAGCGTTACTGTCACAGCACCATCAGGTCTCGGTTGTTACCTTACGTTTATGGATTATAGTTTAATGTTCTTATCTGGTACTGGCCCCGACTCAGTACATGCTATCATGACAGACAGACATCTCAACACTAGAGTCTAATCAGAACTGAAAAATACTCAGTCTGCTGTTGCGTCTTTTCCCCCCGGAAAGTTGCAAAATCACATCGCGCCTGATGTGTATAGTCAGACATGTCAGAATTCGCCTCCGAATATTTCGTAATATTCGCGTCGGCCCCGGTGTGTAAGGACCTTTCGGGTCGCTGTTGACCCGGTTAGATTAATATCTAATTATTAATTCCCTGAACAAAAAACGTCAAGCTTGTCCAAACATGTGAGATCAACTCAGTATAGATGTCTGTATGGGGGGTTACACTGACAAAGAAAGACCCAGAGGCCGAGTACAAAAATAATATAATCAATATTTTCATGGATGATGAAGTCGAACAAGAAAATCTAGAGATGAGAACCAAACTGGATGACAGAGAAATGTTTTTAATTTAATTTACAGCTGATTTAAGACACGGGTTAAAACTGACCCTCAACATGGTGGGTGTGTAGTAAAATGTAACACAGGAGGAAGGTTAAACTGGACAGTCTTGTTCCAGGTTAAAGGTGATCATGATTTCTTTGGTGGATCATCCTCCAGTAGACCATACAGTTCGTTTAAGGTCGACCAAATCTTTTCCTTCCTCTTGTTTCAGTCAGGACACGTTAAGATATTCGGTCATCCTCCTCCCCTCCTATCTAAACGATCTTCATGCGTCCCATTCTGTCGTTCGCTCAGCTTCAGTTTTTTCCTCTGCCTTCGATGTGACGGTCCTTTGAAGCTCGAGTGAGGAACTGTGCGAGAACCAGTTTCAAAGCGTCCGTGTCATTTAGCTTGCTGACTGCGAGCAGATCCTTACCCAGCATCCTTCTCTCTCCATTTTCAAAGCCAGGCGTTGTGGGGGAGGATCAGAGAGCGACAGAGAGAGAGAGAGAGAGAGAGAAGGGGAGGGAGGGAGAGGGCTGGATGGAAACGAGGCTTTGTGGAAGATCAGTCAGATCCTCCTGACGCGTGGATACTCTCCATCGAGGGGCCTTCAGGCCAAATGTGCGCAATCTGCCAGCATCTCTGCTCGGCTGCTGTCAGAGAGGATCTGTTAGCATGTTTGTCACCAGACGTTGGTGTGACGGTAATCAGACATGTTCGAGACTCGGGGGACGAAGAAGACAATCCAATGTAACACTTCAGAGATGACAATTTGGTATATTTCATTGGTGTTGCTTTTAGGATCAACGGAGGAGTCTCTGGTGCTTCACAGGTCCTGAGGTAAAGAGTCTAAACCTCAGAAACAGACCGAGGACCGAAAATAAGACCACCGCTGTCTGAAAGGTGTGGAGCGCCGTATTTTAAAGCCACTTATCGATCACCTCGAGGGGACGTCCTGAAATGAACTCGCAGTATTAGGTAAAGGAAGTCTCTAATTTCCTAAAGTGCCATTAAGCGGTAATGAAAGAGTGTTCATTAATGTTAGAGGGATGAGGAGCCGAGACGCCGGTTTATTAAAGAGAGACCGACAGTAAAGAGGTAAAGATGATTACGGCGGTTTAGGAAGGAGGGAACTTGACAGTCTGATGTAAAGTCAACATCAACATCCAATCAGATTAAGGGATTTACACGACAAATCGATGAAAAAATCACGTTCTTCATCCGCTTACTCGTTCCGGGTCAGCGGAATTAAAGAAGCATCTTTTTGTATCTCCAAAATCTTTTAATATCAGTCAACAGTTATTAGTCATTGATGACATTTGGTAATATAACGATATCTCTGCGTTCTCTTATGTCTGTGTCTGTTTTGAGCGGTCCGCTCTTTCTGACTGTAAACAAAGCCGTTCTCCACCTCCTCGACCTGATTGGTTGTGAGGCACGTTCCACATCCTTGAATAACGTGAATGAGTCCAAACAAAGTTAGCGTGCTACAATATCGGAGAGTAGAAACCAACCAGAAAGTTCGCAAAATTGTCTGAATCCTCCTTTGACCACGACTGCCGACACGAGCAAGAAAACAAAGTAAATACCGGAGACTCTGGAGGAATAACGGGCGCTTAAAACGGAGGTAGAATATCGTGATAATTCAAGATTATTTGAGCATCACTTCTTATTCTTATGTTTTCAGTTGTTTGATTTAAAAATGACGTCTAAGAGTGAAAAACGACCAATAAGTGATGTTAGTTTGAAGCGTTATGTAAAGACTTATGTTTTTCCACCATGTGGCGCTGCGTAATTTGAACCATTAACATTTTGAAACTAGCGAACGTCTCTTGTTGAACAGCTGAAGCTCAGAGGAAGAGTTGGTTCGAACTCTTACACCTACGTCAGCGTTCACCAAATTGCTGCCCGTGTAAAAGTATAAATGGAAATTATTTAAAACTGTTCGTCTAAAAAAGGAACAAATAATGCCGTTATATCGCCTTCTTCACCATTCATTTATTCTCTGCTGTTTATCTAAACGTGCGAATGCTGTTGCTTCCCCTTTACAACTGTTTTGGCTTTTATTCTGAAAATCCAAACATGCTACATCCGTCTGAAATATGAAGATTACAGCTTTGTGAAAGAGTAAAACAAATACGCCACAGGATTTCTTGACCAGGAGATTAAATTTTTTGGCTGGAAATGGTAAAATAAAACCGTAGATGATACCTTGAATGCTATTTAAGTCATTTACAGTCGACCATTTCCTGTTTGTAGACTCAATTTACAATTCCTGTAGTTTTTCGTGGCTTTTAAAATCCAGAGGTAACGCTGTTTAGTGAACAAGACTTCTTTGGGAATATTTCAGCTGATTTTACTCATCAAGCTCTCCGTCTGCGCAGAGCTTCGACTCGCCTCTTTACACTGTTCCTGTATCGTCTTTAAAACACAACAGTATAAACACATCATGAATCCCAAAGATGAGAAACAAACAGGGATTTAATATTGAACACACAAATAGAAAAACCTCCTAAACCAAGAATGAACGTTATAATCAACATGCAGTGAATCTGCCTGCAGGCCGGCCCAGTTTAGAGTAAAATAAGACCATGTGAAAGTCGTGTTGAAGCGTCTTTACTGTGTTTTTTAGCCTCCTCCTGCAGTCACTGAGGCGTGCGGGCATTCGTGAAATATTCAGAGTTTCCCATGATCTCCCTCATGTTTCCCGGCTCTCCCTCGTTCTTGCGTAATCTTACATAATGTGTTGAATATTTAAAGCGGGTTTAGTGGAGCGCTCGTCGCCCACCGAAGGAACGAGGACGATGGTCGGAGTCACTGGAGAGGAAAGGGAACGGTGGTTGAAAAAGATGAGGAGAGATGGCTGAGGGAGGTAATTAAAGGATGTGTCGTCCAGGATCTGAGGACGCACGCACACCAGAGCGCCAAATACTCACCAAAACGCCGCCTGCTGATGAAACCTGGTGGAAATGTGGAGGGAAGTACACCACACTGCAGCAATATCTATGTTTGAGTATTTAAAAGTCTACCTGCAGATCGGTAAAGGTTTTTTAGGGAAACTAAATCAGCTGGAACATGACTTTTCTGGCTCTGGGAAATTTTAACAAGATTTTTGGACGTTTTTAAAAATTTGAACCATATTAAACCAGAAAAAATGATCTTCAGACAAAGTCTCAGCATTTTGTTGCTCTTTTTTAAACAACAGTCTGTCTTTTTCATTCTCTAGATCCTTATTTCCATGTTTAATTTTCCTCTCAGTGTAAATGTGGGAGTTTTTCCACAGGTCTCAGAAGTTAAAGGGATATTCTGGCGTAAATTAATTTAGGGTCAAACACACCGTAACATTGAGAGTTAGACACCCCCTCGAGAGATGAATGTTGCCGACCACTTGCTTCTCTATTTAAACCAACTTTAGTAACGACCGCAGGATAGCAATACAGAGAGGTCAAACAAACCTCAACCAAAACGCCACAAATAATGTTCAGAACAGCACCTAACTTCATCAACAGGACATATAGGGTCACAGCCATATTACTAGACACCAAACACCTTTTTAACTTTGACTCATTTCTTTAGCAAAGAGACTAAACACAACTCACCTACTCTTGTTTATGGTCCATTATGGACTACAGCGGAGTGATGCAGCTCAAAGAAGAACATTTATGATTATTTCTTCATGGAAATACAATCAGACCAAGACACTAAAGCAGGAGAACTACCACGTCTACAGAGCAAAATAATTAATATGATGTGAAAAAGGCTGGTTCTGTGGTTGGATTCAAGCTGGACTCAGTGGAGGATGTGGTGGAGAGATCTACACTGAGGAAGGTGGAGACTATTCTAAAGAACATGGATCACCCACTACACAACACCTTAACGGACCAAAGGGCCAATGGTGGTGGATGGCTCCTCTCTCTTTACTGCAGAACATAAAGATTCAGAAGATCTTTTGTACCAACAGACATCAGACTTTACGACTCTTCTGTAAATAGTAAATGACTTTAAGAGACACGACAAAGGAGACGACAGACAATTGAATTTCCCTTCAGGGATTAATAAAGTCGTTCTTATTTTTATTACTTCAAGGAAATGATAAAGTAATGATCATAAATGTTCTTCCTTGAGCTGCGTCACCCCGCTGTAGTCTGTAATGGACTGGCCTGAGGCCTCGCTACAGACAAGCGTCTGCTGGAAGACAGTAGGTGAGTTGTATTTAGTCTCTTTGTTAAAGAAATTAGTCAAAGATATTTGGTGTCTAGTACTATGACTGTGACCCTATATGTCCTGTTGATGAAGTTAGGTGCTGTTCTGAACATTATTTGTGGCTATAAAGTGGCGTTTTGGTTGAGCGCCTGACTCTCTGTATTGCTATCCTGCAGTCATTACTAAAGTTGGTATAACTAGAGAAGTAAGCGGTCGGCAACATTCATCTCTCGACAACCTAAATCTGAAGACAACTGTTGCCAAAATTGACATAAAATAATGTTTAGAAAGCGTAGGTTAGCTTGGCCAAAAGATGCAAAAAAGTCATGTAAATGAGGCTGTGAACTTTAAAATGGAGTAATTCATGGCCTCTTTCAGAATTTTTAGGATACATAATAAAAGTTTTAAGATAAAAATGAAGAAAAATCAGATTTAATGGAGTTCAGACATTCATGGATGACTCTACACTCTGGGTTACCAAAGGCCTCCGAACATCAACGTTTACACAAGTGGACTGAATCCTGGCTCCTGATTAAAGCAGCGTCTGTGTCTAAATAACAGAATTAACAATCGCTTTAATTGCTCCCGAGAGCCTCCATGTGACGAGGAGTCATCGTTCACGGCCCACGACAAAGAACCCGAAGCCACCGCCGCTGAAACAAAAAGCAGAGGCTGAAAATAACTTGGATACCTGCTTTGATGTCCAACACATAACAACCCCATTGAGAAATCAGAGGAAAAAACTCCATGAAGAACCCGAGCATCAGCCCACCGCCTCTCTCGGCCGCCTCATTGGAGCGGCGGCTTCCTGCTTCGCGCCGATTGGCTGTGGAGGCGGCAACCGTGCCGACTCTCGCCTAGCAACAGGCATGAGTGCAGCCACCGCAGAGCACCCCTCCTCCTACCTCTCCTCTGTGTGGGGGAGCAGCTGATAGAGCGAGAGCAGAGAGAGAGGAGCGCAGGATGGAGTATGAGCAGGAGCATGAGAGCGAGGAAAAGAGCGGGCGGATTTTGAATGGAGCGCAGAGCGGGATGTTTCTGAAGGATGACAGGGCGGAGCAGGGCCCAGTCCCACTTCAGTTCTGCTCCGTTTCTGCCCACAACATGTGTTTGAAGTGTGCCCAAACATGACCCAGAATGCATTGTGTCCTATTGTAACTTGTTTTAGATTAGCTGTAACTGGAGTTTACACCGTCTTTATGTAGATACTTATATTTCAGGGTTAGGGCTGATAAAGATCTCATTTTAGCACTGGTGTTGGATCCCTGTTTCAAGGCAGATGAGCTGAGGTAAATCTTTATACAACAAACTGGAGAGATCTGCGAGCTCCTCATCGAAGAAACCGTTCAAATAAAGTAAAAACAGGAGACACCTGAGGCAAGCGCTCCACCCGCCACCGTCATGAATCCAGAGTCTGAACTGAAAGAGCCAGACTGGATCATCTTCCGTCAGCAGCAGCCGTATACTGTATAAACTATGGACAACTTGGTTTTGCCTTGCGCCAGTATAACCGAAAAGCTCTTGGTATTTCCGCGATTTTTCTCCATTTTTGGAGTAGCGTTGTAAGCTCTCCACCATTTGCGCTGTAGCATTATGCACATTCGGCGGGAGAGTGGCTGTGATGAAGCTCTGCTCAAACAGCGTATTCCTCGGGTGAGCTACAAAATCTTCGTACGTCCACAGGCTGTATCAAGTGTCAATCATAGAAAACATGAACCCCCTAATAACTTTCAAACCAGTCTGACAGTAACTACATGTCAACATCACAAGAAGGGGAAGAAAAATTCATATTCTGTGTAATAAATTCCTAAAGTTTGTCCACAGCTCCACAAGGATGGCTGGTGGAGGCGGGATTTATCACCTATACTGCAGCCCGTCACCAGAGGGTGCTGTTCTCAGAGTGGCTTCACCCAGCGAGGAGGCAGACGCTGTTCATTCCATAGACATAATATACGCAGACGCCTCTAAGCCTGACGCTGCCTATTGGAGCTCACGTATCAGCATGGCCGCCATCTTGGATGGGTCCCCCATGCACCTCCAGTGCATCAAGGTAGGTAGGAATGCCCAACCATATTGATAATAACTCTGAATCTCTGCCTGATTTTCACTGTTTGGTTTGTTACAATAACAGGGATGTAGCCATAATACAGGACAATGTCACACATTAATAATAAACCAAATTATTTTTCAATCCTATTTGTGAAATGTAATGTTACATGATCTGGTTTCAAAACTGCGTTGGGTTTTTCCACCATAGAGTGCCAAAAAACGGGCATTGTTTGCTTGTCTCCGTTAACCCGTTTGGCTCCTGAGTGGCCCGGCGTGGAGAGGCCCATCCAATATGGCGGCAACGCTGGATTACGCTCCAGCACATAATGAGGCATCTACGTATATAATGTCTACGGTCCATTCTATATACAGTCTATGGCAGCAGTGCATACCTGAGGACGCCAAAGCTTTAGATGCACATGAGTAATTTGTACAAGTAGGCCCAGAACTTGAGGGTTTCGCTGTTCTTATATTTCATCCCTTTAAAGAGATAAACAACTGCATTATCTGTAAAAAGTTAATCGCCTAGCTACCTGTCGATCCAGGTCCAGTAAAAGATTAAATCTGAACACAAAAAAAATCTAAACTTTACTCTGAATCTACCAAGTCTGTCTGCTCTTGCTTTTTCAGCCTCCAAACAGTTCTACATGTTACCATGTTAGCTTACAGGTGCCATCTTTTGGATGTTAAGACGTTTACATACTGCCCACTTCAGTGCCTGAATAAAAGGATGTGTTTTCCAACAGTGAGTACGTAAGAGTCTGACTTCGATCATTATTTGTCTGTTAAAAAGGTCATTGACCTGCTTCAACGTCCACATGTTCCTCCTTCCCCGGGGACAGAGAGGGACTATCTTCTGCAGCTCATCAAACGCTGATGAAGAACATGCTCGGAGTATCGTCAGACAGTCGCTCTGAGCTGTTATTTCTCAGAGCAAATGAACCTGTCGTCCTCTTCTCTCTGCTCTCCGAATTTAGCCGTCTGAAGATTGGCAGACGTTTACAAAGACTGACAGCTCTGCAAAAGCATCGGCCAACGTGCAGGTTTGATGAGTAGGAGGGAGTTTAGGAACATTTCAGCCGTGTAAAAAAACATTTTCGTTTCACCCACAGATATTTGATTGATCGCTGTCTCAACATTCACGGGAAGCATTGAAAACAGAATATTTAAAACCTGCAGGACGCTCGAACTAAAGTGAAAGATGTCGATAATCCTGCTGAACAAAGACTGACAGTCATCTCTACCCTCGACTTTGGTTCATAATACATTTTGTTGAGTTCTTCAGCTGAAGACTTTTTGACTGCTATTCACCTTTATAACTTCAGTGAGGGACATTTATCCAAGATTGGCAGATCAAAAATCATCTGCTTCAAATGCATCACTTTGGCTGCTTTTCCAATAAACAACAGTTACTGGGTGTTACTTTTTACAGAGCTAAATAACCCTGAAGTTATTCCTTTACAGAAAACATCTCAGGCCAACTGTAACAACCCTGATTTATCCCCGTTAGGATACATCCACTATTACTGAAGTGAAGTGATGAGCAATAAATGCCCCGAAAACATCGGAAGCGGAAGATCGACAGGCGGATCAAAGCGGCGTCAGCAGTGATGCGGACGCTTAACCGATCTGTCGTGGTGAAAAAAGAGCTGAGCCATGAGGTGAGTCTCTCGACTACCGGTCGATCTACGTGCCGATCCTCACCTGTGGTGATGAACTTTGGGTAATGACCGAAAGAACAAGATCGTGGATACAAGCGGTAGAAATGGGTTTCCTCGTCAGGGTGTCCGGGCTCAGCCTTAGAGATAGGGTAAGGAGCTCGGGTCTCGGGAGGCGCTCAGAGGAGAACTGCTGCTCCTCCACGTCAAGAGGAGTCAGCTGAGGTGGCTCGGCTATCTGGTTAGGACGCCTTCTGGACACCTCCCATTAGAGGTGTTCCGGACATGTCCCACCGGGACGAGACCTCGTGGCCGCTCCAGAGACAGGTGGAGGGATTATATCTCTCGGGAATCCTCCCAGAGGAGCAGTAGCTGTGGTGAGGGTCGTCTGGGCTGGACCCGGATAAGCTGAAGAAAACGAATGAACGAGGACCTTCTGGTTTCCAATTCCTGACTGCGTGAACCTAGACTGACTGTGTGGGACCTTTGGGTGGCATAAAAAGCTCATTACATTTGTTAGCATTAGCATTCTGACTGATCCAGGATCAATCCTTCATGTCTTTCCACCGTTTTTTTTCTATATCTCTTTGGCGTTTGTATCCCATGATGCAAAAAATTGCCAGATGAAAACAAAAATGAAAACACAAAAGCATCTAGTTATAAATTTGTGACAGGCATGCATGCAGCACCACTCCTAGTTCTGCTTTTTTGGGTGTTTTTCCGACTCTACACCCTTGACAACATGCAGGCAGCCAAGCAGGACAGCATCTCTTGATCACAGCATCGATATGGATGTTGCAGATCTGCAAATCCTGGAAATGAGATTTTTTTTGCAACCAGATTTCAACCTTTTTTTTATATAACAACAAAGATGCATTGTTGTTAAGATATCCAAAACTTCCAATTTTAGTTACAGGGAGAGGTTTTTGAGTTCATACAGTAACCAGCTCGTTCAACAAGTGCCGCTGCTGCCTGGTTTTAGTCAACACTCCAGCAGCAGCAGCAGCAGGGAAACTGTGACAGTCCTCCCTGTCAGAGGAGATCATCAGCTGATCCTCCTCCATCTCCCTCCGTCTTTTTTTATCCCGCTCAGTGTGGGGTCTGTGCCTCCATCAGCTGCTGCGTGGGAAACAGAGGAACTGGAGCTCAGTGATTGTTATAATTTTCATCTCACCCCCTCTTCCTCCCCCTCACACGTCCGCTGCCACCTGCATTTTTTTTTTTCTTCCACCAGTGGCTGATGCCGCCAGCTCCTCGGGGGAGTCAGGGGCTTTCATTGGCTCCCTAAATTGTCATGGCAACCGCATACTGGCAATTTGCTGTTCTCAGTGGAGACGTGGCAGTGCCTCTGAGTCATAGTTGTTGGATGTATATTTTCTATGTATATTTTCATGCTGAATGTGCTGTGGCATCTCAGAGTGACGTTGGTGCAGATACTAACTGAAAATGAAAAGCTGCACAAGTCGTCGCAAAGCTGATGCTCTGGGGCTCAATTTACTCGTATCCAGTTATATAATTGATGAAAAAGAAGAGAAACAAATGGATTGATAAAAATGGGGTTTCGAAGGATCACTGGGGTTTTAGGCCCCAGATTTTCTCCTGTCTGTTTGGTTTTTAATGGAGTTTGCGCTGCCTCAAATATGCAACTCTTTTTTTTTTATTAGATAAATGTGCAAAAACCTGAGACAAACAGAGCTAAAGGCACAGTGGGTGAATATTGTTTAAAAAACACTGTTTTTAAAGTTGGACTTATATATAAAACTATAGCAAAGCTGGTAGTGTTTGACATGAGGTTTCTTGACTGTGTAATCCTTTCCTTTTCGTGTCAAACTCAGTCAAATTTAAGTATTGTTGAATTCCAGTGGGTTCACCTTTAAAACTCTTGACCAATCGGCCTCTTCAGTCGCCCAGCGCTTCAAAATATGAAGCAGGATGTCTGCTTGATGCACCAAAAGCTGAGGACTTGTTCACATTTACATCAGAATAACCCCCAATTTCCACCTTATCTGGAACGGCTACAAAAAAAAAGGCCGTATTCGTCGATCGTAGCTGATCGTAACCGTTCAAGTCAATATGTCAATTTACAGCGACTTCTTTCCTTTATTCCGATGACACCATGGATGAGGAGATGCTGATTCTAAAAGTCTAGAAGTAGATTTCCTCCTCTGGAAGGACACAATCTACTGCTGATATCGTTAGCCTTTGTGGCTAAAGACAACTTGTTA